GCAAAACGTAAGCAAATATGCCCAACACGACTCCTCGCACTCACTTGCTGGGCCAGATCGAGGTCCGACTTGGTGGCGACGAAGAGAGTGGGGATATTATCTAAACTATACTGTTGCTGCACAGAAGATCAGGAACAGAACAGAACCGCACCGGTGACGACTTGCCCGAAGATTACTGATGTAAGAGAAGGAGTTGGTATCTCCCGAATCATAGACATGGACGATGACATCCGCCAAATCCAGCTTTTTGGAGTTCCGCAGCATCTCTGCCTCGTACTTGGAACCGAATTCTTGCAGCTGGGCGACAATCAGCGGCAGCAACCACCAAACGCACAAATCTTACCACCAAATATTTCTCCGATCCGTCGATTGCCACAGAATTGACCACGCTCACAACCTTTGTCGTAGGCTCGTAGACAGACGATATAGGTTTTCCAGCAAACGCGCGCAGAAGAGATGTTTTTCCAGACCCAGCAGCTCCGCAGAGATAGCATAAAAACACATTCCGCGTGACTTTGCCTTTCCTCCGATCCGTCTTCCGCGGGCGTGTAACCTGAAGTGCGCCAGTTCGTGGTTCGTTGGGATAGCCCAAGTAAGCCAAGTAAGCCAGCGTCGTCTTATGGTCCAACAAAGTCGTCATACTTGTCACACGCATCAGAGAAGTGGAGAATTGTGTAGATGCGATCACACCTCCACTGGGCAAGCCATCCTTGCAGAGTCACGGCTCCCGAATCATCAGAAAGGGTGGTGTCTGGGAATTTCTGGGTGGCCCAAGGATTGCCAGGAGACGTGCTGAAGACCTCATCCAGCTCGTGTGTCTTCAGCGCCCCATCTTGGTCCTACACCAGTTCGAGCCAGAAACATCAAGTGAGACTACCAGACACACCTTGTCGAAAGTTTCGAACAGATCAGTGAAGAATTGATAACCCAGGGGACTCAGTTCAACCGAGCAGTCCGGTAGAACATCGAATCTGCGTGGGCGGCATGTCAGACTCGACTGATTCAAGAGCTCGGGACAAACTTGGGTAGCAGGAATCCTTCCGTAAGTTTCAAGTCTTCAGCGTAACCAAACTTGCGTAAAACCGTCCATGTCGTTTCGAGTCTCCCTCGTTGGATGAAGGTCGTATGTAGGTAGAGGAAGCCCCGTTCAGTCAGACCTCCGTCCTTGACGCCGCCTTCGGTATGTGCAGAAACCATTTGCCGAATCCCTTCCAACTCTTGGACTTGAAGCGGCGCATCGAAGCATTTACGCTGCGCAGAGATTATCAGCGGGGACGCGTCGTGAGGTGCGACAGACACGGACCTGGAAATCGTTCAACTCCGCAGCATCCAGAATCCCATCTTTATTCAGGTCGCAGAGCTTGAAAATACGCTGCAACGCGCTGACACATGCAGGTTTCAAGACCTGGACGTTATCAGAGTCTAGCGTACGACGTCTGCAATACACACACATGGTCGCGGGAGTCGTATAACGGAGCTGTCGGATGCAGAACTGCTTTCTGGGCAAAGTAGAAGACCTCTGACACATTCACGGGTTGTTTCGCGGAGCACTCTATGCACGTCTCGACTTCCTTCACTGCGCGTTTAGCACAGTCGGTCTGCACGGGAACCAACGCACCTTGAACTCATTCATGATAGGCAAGATCTCCTCAGCCAGCGTCTCATTTGCGGGGTCATCTCCGCGCAGGTCGATCTTGTTGCCCACGAGAATGACAGGTACCTGGTGGAAAGTCAGTCCTGCCCAGCCCAGCCCAGCCCAGCCAGTCGGCACCGACTGACGTTGACACCCAATTGCCGGAAATGGGGGAGCCAGAATGTAGGGATCCGGTCGAACGAATTGGCGTTGTCTATCGAGTACACCACGCAGATGACATGTGCCTTGCGAATCTCGCTCTCAAGGTGAGGCCGGTCCTGGGGGCCCGCTGCGCGGCAGTAACGAGACAGATTAGAAACGAAATGGAAATGATGTCCATTGGGTCCACGCACCTCCCGAGTCCACGATATACGTCGTCACATTCTCCGGGGTGACCTCGGGCGGGATGGTCACTTCGGGAACGATATGCTGAACCTGCGCGGGCCGGGATTTGAGCTACGACGCGACTGGACGGCAATGCAATGCTTATTCACATGGGCGACGTAGGACTCCTTGATCAAAGTGGTGACCAGTGTGCTTTTCCCGACACCCTCTGTGAATGCGATGAGATGTGGTTGAAAGGTCGCGTAAACGAGCCCGACCGTCGCCAACGAGCAAAACCCTGACATCTCTTCTCATACTCCGAGACTCTGTCTCGGTGGAACGAAGATGGCTTCAAGAAAGGGAAAGAATGCGGGGAAGTGGAAGAAATCTATGTAGAGTGTAGAAGTCACAGCGTGACTTAATGCCGGCTGGACGCGTCGCGTGCTCTGAGCCAGATCTAGGGACACATATATCGGCTATGACGGAAGACAGCTTCCGGTCGCACCCGTGGTATTATTCTATAAGTATACGTGATACGGAGTACGTGGATAAACTGATCGAGAGTACACTATTCTAGAGCGCTCCGCAATTCTTTCCAGAGCCTGAAGATGTTCAATGAATTGGCTAATGAGAATTGCATGAACAGCACTTACGCGCATCTGCGCATCAGGTCTGCAGGCGGGGCGGCAGTTGTCAGCTGAGGCACTGCTTGAGCTGTGCGATTGAACACCATCTGGTTCCCGCCATCTGACCACCGAGGCCAATAGGGAGCAATGCTGGGCTGCAACTTCAGGCTCGGGTCGCCATTGGCGGCGAACGAGAAGAATACTTGTTGAAACGCAGTGATGAAGTCAGTGTTGTTGTATGCGAGCGCGAAGCCTGCGAAGCTGATTGACTGGAAATAGTAGAATATATCTTCACCGTGCACGGCAGGAGGGACTGCGTATTCTCCCTGTAATTCACGGTTAGGCACCAGGATGCATGTGATTCATGCTGACCGACCTTCCAAGCGTTGCCGGGGAAAGCATCGACAGCGAGATAGGATGGGCAGACGAAGATGGCTACGATAGATCAGCTGGGTGCGAAAGATCACTGCGTCAGAAAGACACGCCTTCGGTCATGATGGCGGTGGCCTAATGAATATCGTGAGCATCAAGAGGGGGGCAGCTGTGAGCAACTGACTTGTTCTGTTGTGCTGCCCACGGAATGGTAGATGGCAGCAACGGATTCTGCTTGCGTCTCGTCCAAAAGCGGGAGCATATTTCTTGTGAATTGTGTGATGTTATACCCAACGGTCTGGTCGACGAACACAGCAGCTTCGAGGCTGTTTGTAATGACGAGCAATTCATCCTGGAATGGATCAGATGATATTTGTGCAGTGATTGTTCGACCATACTCCGTTTGTTTCGCCCTGTTCAAGAGCATCGGCGGGGCTCTTCGTGATGAGAGATCCGTCGACAACGGGAAGAAATGTGAAAGTGCCTTCAAAAGCAGCCGAAGCCAGGTCTATGTTGATCCCTTGCAAGACCTCGCCATCCGTTCGTCGCAGGCAGTCGAGCTGATCTCCCGAAGCACACCTGATTCACGCATTTCAGAATTCGCCACTGCGGAGCAGAAAGGACAAACACACCCTGCTTGGCCGGCCACTGAATCAAACAAGCTCTGGGACATAGGTGAGCCGGGGAACAGCTGAGAAAGACACGCCGCATATACCTGGGGAATGACATCCCCATATCCGTATTGAGGGGGAAGAAAGAGCGAGCTGGTGATCCCGGTCTTGAAGAGTTTGGGCTCCGTCTTTCCACCATTGGCCACGACATGCTGAATGACCGAACCCGCTCCAGCCGATTGTCCCCAAATCACAACGTGAGCTGGATCACCGCTAGGACCGTGTTGAGCGCACAAAAACATCTGCAAGAAACTCCAACAAACCCGAATTTGTGGATCTGAGGGCCTTGTAAGCAATGAACACAGTGAGATCAACAACAATACGAACATGATCTTGGACCCAGTGCAAAGCGAATTGTTGGTCGACTATACGGCATTTGTCATCATCAGCCTGTTTCAACGCCAGGGGAGCTCGTACGAAGTCCCGCATTCAGCACCCCACTCTTTTTGACCTGTTCCCCAGCGAGGAATCCTGGTGGACGAACTTAATAAGCCTGATCAATCAGAGACATAAGACGTTACCAAAGAGCCCTAGCCGGTATTGGATGGTAACGACAACAAATTTGCTTCCCGATTCGTTCACCAGGTCAGCACCGTTGTACGTGCTTTCATTGCCCCACGAATACCTGATGACTCAATCAATCACAAGAAAACGAAGCAGGTTGATAATCCTTCTACTGACCCTCCTCCGTGGATCCAAACGATGGTCGGGAGAAGGCGCTGTGGTCGAAGATCCGGCGTGTAAACGCTGAGAAAGAGGCAATCCTCAGACTGCCCGGCGTAGTCGTTCGTCCGAGCAGACAGACTCGTAGAAGCTTGACCAGCGAAGGGTCCCTGGTAACACTGCGGAGGAGCGTTGATTGCCTTCTGAGTTCCATTCGCCTTCGCAGGGGCAACGGGCGCATTCCATCTCAAATCACCTGTAATTCGATCAAACTAGGCAAGAAAACGCAACCAAGGTGACAAGCGTACCGACTGGGGAGCAGCGTAGCGAATCCCCAGGAAAGTTGTAAGGTTCGAGGTAGAGTCGAACGCCGGTTCGTATTTGGCATAACCAAGATCAACAACGGTCTTTGAGTATGCAGAGCATATGAAACCGAAGCTGACGACGAGCGAGACAATAGATATTTTGAGCATGGGAGACGATGTTTTGCAGTTCCATCTTCGGGCTAAGTCCTGCGACTTATATACCTAGACACAAGGTGATATAGAATCTAAAGATTGCGTATGCCTTTGCCGAATGCTGAGTCGACGGAAAGTAGCTGGGATATTTAGGCTAAACGGAGCACTGGGATTCAAGAGGGTCCGAGGGGGATTTATCATCGTGGTCGGATCCTGCCGAAGTATTGATGATGGCCGGAATGCTTCTGAACACCGGGTTTCGCTTCCTGCTTTCTCTTCTGAGCACAGTGCTGCACCGTATGGTTGCCGACACCTCTGGGCAGCTCCATTTTCCTTACAATGCACCTCCCGAAGGTTCGAAACTTTGTTATGACCATGCCTCCCGTCCTTATTCTCGCTCTATTACAGACCACAGTCTCAAACGACAGTATCTCGCCTTACTCCCTCCTCAGCAGGTCATTGAGATATGCCTTGCTCTCGATATACATGTGCCCATGGCGCTGAAGAGGAATATCTGGCCGCCGGATTTCAAAGCTGTTCTTGCTTCCATGCAGAACCCACCAAAAGCAGAAGAGGCGCCGAATAAAATTCCCTCGTCAACACCAGCTGCTTCATCGACCACCAATGAAGCCCATCCTACGGCAGCATCTGATGATCAGTCTCCTCAAACATCCACCGAACGGAAGCCGCCAGATAAACCACCGGTTGCAGGTCCATCGACCCCCAATACATCGTCCTTGCAACCTTTCAACTTCTCGTCTCAGCCCGCATCCGCATATCCACACACACCTTATTACCACCAACCTCTCCCACCGGGATATCTCCCATTTTCTTTTCCATATGCCGCTGGGCCGTCCAGTGCAGCTCACCACCCGTATCCATTGCCTCCTCCCCTTTCTGCGCCAGGTTATCCTGCACCTAATCCGTACTTTGCCGCCCCGCATCAGCAAGATGCCTCTATTCCTGTGCCTGCACCTGCATCGGAAGATACAGACCTCCCGAGCTATGAGGATATGATCGTGGAGGGACTAACGACTGTTGCAGATCCTGAAGGCATGGCACCGAAGGATCTATTCAATTGGATATCCGCACGATATCCGGTTCAAGCGAACTTCCGGCCATCCGCCAGTCAAGCACTGCAAAAAGCGTATAGAAGGGGCCGGTTTGAAAAGAATGCTAGTGGGAGGTATCGGTTGAACGCGAGCTGGGAAGGGGGGAATGTGCGTCTCATTTCTTTTACGATCTCGATAGTCATCCTCAGCGGTCCCAGTCCTCCACCCGCCGCGCGACTCGCCGTCCACAAACACATAACGCGACTCCGATCGTGATGCAAAAACAAGCACGGATGCCGAACGGCGCCAGTCCGTTCACTCCCATCCCACGACCCTCCCCGCAAGCATTTGTGCCTGCTCCGCCACCCGTGTCGCCGTATCCCGCGAGCCAGCCGACACCCGCACCAACGCCCGCAGCTGCGCCCACAGAACCTCCGCGACCGATCCCTCCAACCGAAGTACCACCTCCCAAGCCATCGGTCCCCCCAAATTCGGCCTACCAGGCCGCGGAAAAAATCCTGCAGACCATCAACTTCGGCGCCGTGTTCAGTCTGGAAGACGAGGCAGCCAGACGGATGTCGCCTGTCAAAAGCGAATCCGTCTCGCTTTCCCTGGCGGAACACGCGAGAGCCGAGCTGCAGGGCCAGCTTGCGCTTCTTGCCGCGCAACTGGAGGACATCGCCCAGCTCGAAGCCGATGCCGAGGCAGCTGCCCACGACGAAGACGGGATCTAGTCTTCCTGTTTCATTGCTATGTACTGCTCTTTTCTTTCTACACATTGTATCAAAAAGGCAAGGGTCCAGCGTTCGACTGTATATCTAGTAGTACATTTGGGTGATACTATTGTTTCTCTGCTCGGTTTCACTTCAGATTCTGCAGAGCTTTATCGACAATCTCCGTCATGGCAATCACAGCCTCCTCCTCTTGCGTGCCTCCAATCAGCTGCAACCCAATGGGACATCCTGGGAACATGTCTGCCGCATCTAATGAACGCGTTGAGATCAGTGCGGGAGAAGGAACGGAATGGAAATCACAGAGATTGAAGATGTGGGCATCCTCCTCGTTGTAGAATTCGTGAGGAGGATGAGGATCATCGAGCTCTGGGTCAACGAACGTCACAGGAAAGACCGAGCAAGCATAATCGAGAGCATTGCACAACGTGGTGTAGAACGAATCCCTGAACATGCATGAGCCAGCGGCACGGATCAGAGGAACGAGGAGCGAACGTGTTCTGGCCGTGAGGGACGGCAGGATACGCGACTGCAGGGGAGATGATGGCATCGACAGGTCTGCCAGTTCCCGTCTTGGACGCGGTCGCACGCCAGTGGTCGAGGTGGGACTTGCGTAGTTCTCGTTTCTCCTTGTGAAGTTGCCATAACTGATAGATCTGGTACCGTAGCCCTCGTCTAGCAGGTCTAGGATGGACTCACCTCATAAGCCGTCCGATGGTAGGGTGTGCCAACGAGAGCTTTGCTCAATGGCTCGTCTAGAGCCTTCTCGCGCGAGTCTGTGATCGGACTCATCGTCTGAATCAAAGGCTCGCTCCCTTCGCACTGCTCGCGGAAGTCGTGTCCCCCGTCTGCTGCGAAAATGATTTCCTACCGCGGATGAACCACTGTCTTGGGAAAACAAGCCATGCATGACCCACCGCATTCTTATATATCTCGAGATGACGGTGTGGTTCCCAATCGATCACTACGGCCCATTGAAAAACAGTTCAGGTATCAAGATCTCGGTGACATACCTCGGTGCCCGGCAGCTTCGAGCGCGCGTTTGACGATTCCCATCGCTCTGTGGAGAGGTGGATGGGGTTTGACGACGCCATTGTCCCACATGATTGCAAAACAAAGCTGCTGGCCGTCCCCGTGTCCTTCCAGCCGATACTCGCTTTCGCTCCATGGCTTTCGGACGACAAGAGGATCCTTGAGCCAAGGCTGTGCATCAAGAAGCGCCTTCGTGAAAACTTTAACCCCGGAGAGCGAGTTGGCCATCGGGCCGAGCACCGATGAGATGGATTCTTGGCCCTCCAGTGTGTTCATGGCTCCAAAATACGGCAGCCGTCCATAAGAAGGTCGCAGAGTATAAAGTCCACAGAAAGCACTCGGTATGCGCAAAGATCTGTGGAGAGCATTGGGATTCTCCGAATGAAGAGCAGAATGACCGGGTCGAACCCTCCGATATCAGTCCCCACACCGAGTGGGCTCCCTCTCATGGCGACGAGAGCACCCTCGCCCCCAGACGAGCCGCCTGGGGTAAACGATAGATTGTACGGGTTTAGGGTGCGCCCAAACACGTGATTCATCGTCTCGCCCCACTGGCCGTCAAGTCAGTTGGAGATCTGTTGGCATGAGTCACAGCGCGCACCATAAGCGTTTGGGGAACATTCGTGCGGACAAAGGGGACTGCTCCACATTCGTACAGAATTTCAACAAGGACGCAGTCAGAATCTGCGACGCGCCCAATCCATTTCGCGTATCCTGCCACTGGGCTGAACGACAGTCCGCTGCTGACTTCCCGAACCTACCCATGATTGTTTCGAGACCCTTCATCGAGAATTGGTCTAGACGCATCAGAATAGCCAGAAACGATTGACATCATTCTTACCTTTCAAGGAGATGGGCAGTCCATGGAGCGGCCCGACGACGCGGCCGGTTGTGGCAAGATATTCATCCAGTTCTTTTGCACGAGCTAGCGCACGCTCAACGAATATTTCCGTCAAGCAGTTTGTCTGACACAGATAAGCCTAATGACAACTGACGTCGCGCAACAGTAATGAACACACCAACTGCTGAGCAATGACGGCTCGCTTGTAGAATGCAGTCGTTACTTGAACAGACGTCCACAGACTAGTCCGGATGTTGTCAAGAATGACTGGAACATCTGTTGTTTCCGTGATTTCCAATTCTAAAGCGGTCAACAATCCACATTGGCGTGGGACGTCTGTGACGTTCACTTGAGACACGGGGGGTGCCTGGATAAGCCATTCGGATGGTATCGATTCCAACTGAGCCATCTTTCTGGCCGTGCAACGTGCTTCCCAGTCCGCAGGGTAAGACGGTTCATCTGACGACATGGTGGTGAGTAGATAAGATGGTGATCACTCCCAGGCTCTTTCTTGGTCACGTGGATACATTGAGCGAGTCACGCGATGTTGACACGACGCGTCAAAGCGCGTTCCATGTCGCTGGATTGATGCTACAGATCTTGTATTTCCGACCTTTCTAACTCGTATGTAAGCGATACCTAGCCGTTCGTCGCTTCTGCCTGTATTGTACCCACTTGGCCGCGCAGCCGCAGATGGCGGACAAGATACCAGAACGCAACCAGGAAAACAAATCCGCCGACGATCGCAGCACCGATGTAGCCAGAATTATCATTGGCCTAGAGATCAGTTGGTCGATTTTGCTCTTGACCAGAAAATGACGTACATTAGCCCAACCACGCCACCATTTTCCTGCAAGGCCTCCCCCATCGGGGGCATTTGCGGCCCTTTGGCACGGGGTGCACTGGTCTCCTATGAGGCCCATGATTGTGATGAGCGAGATGCTGTAAAAGATCGAGACAATTTCAATAATCATTCAGGAAGTATTCAGGTTTGGTACCTGAATGCCACGAGAATGCTCATTATGGTCAGCACGATGCTAAGCTTGGACATGACGTTCATCTTCACTCGTTGGTCACGAGTCAATTGTGCAACATCCGGTTCAGGGGCTTTGTCGTCAAGTCGAGGAGGGCCGGAAACGGTTTCGCTTTCTGTGACGCTGGGTTCGAAAAGAGCCCAGGAATGTTCAGGAAAACCCGAATAGGAATACAACATCAGGACCGAATCTGCTGAGTCAAGCAGAGCCATGGCGAATGTAAAGAGAAACTATGTCGAGATTGGCCCATTGTCATGGAAGTTGGAAGCTGACTTACAGGAAGAATGACAATATATCCTCGCGGCACTGATGTTCCGTCTGATCGCCTCACAGCCAATGCAGAAACGGCGAGCAGAGCGATGGAGGACGCTGTGTCGAATCCTGAGCCAGTCGTGAGAGCGGAAACCAGCGATCACGACATATAGACCAAATCCAAACAGGATTCCAACGGGATACATCTATCTCAGCAGTTAGAAAGATTGCGAATGGCGTGCAGATGTAAATCAGACCTTCCACGGCTTGTTGACAAAGTTAATGATTGGACCCAGTATACGCAACATAAGCATGTGATCATGATGTGCCTCGACGACTTCGGGTGTGTAATTCTCTTCTGCACGCTTACTAGCCTGGAGTGTATTTGATGAGAGTAGGAGGCGTTAGTTAGAACCACCCATACCGCTCTGCGCCTTCTCAGAATTTGATACAGAATGATCGAGTTTGCGAGAGCGACGATGAATAGAAACGAGCCGCTCACAGCCGAGCCTGGTGTCAGTTGAAATGGGATCGGAGAAAGTGCGGATGCCCCGACCGACTATCCCTCCAATTGTGCCTATGCCATCCAGTTTGTTGTAGATAGTCGTCGAAATGGCGATCGCGACATTCTGTGCGTCAAAATCAGACCGATATACAGCTCAAACGATGCTATCTATGCAGACTTACGACGGCGATTACAATTGTGCTGTGCCCTAGAGAAAAGAAAAGCCCGCAGGTGATAGGAAGTTGACCGGTGTTGATCAGTCCACGAGTCGCGTTGTCGATTGCACTATAAGGCGTCGAAGGCGTTCCATAAAGAACTGGAGAGTGACAGACCTAATGTGATCGGCGTCGAGAGCTTGCAGATGTGAGCAATGCAAAGTTTGAGATGCGACCCAGTCGCACCATGCCTAAGTCCGAGAGTCTGCACATGGGTCCTATGAGTTCAACGTTCGAGGGATCAAGAGGGGACAATCGTACCCATGCTAAGAGCGCTAGACTCAGGATCGGTTGTGTTTCCGATTTACGACCAAACAAGATCCCTGCCGCAATCCAACACATAGCGTTGGCTAGCGAAAGGGATCCCATCAGCAGCACAGACCGTCCGAACAAGGTCAACTTCTTCATCGCGAACGATAAGATCAAGCTGGTCCGTGCAGCAAGGAAGGTCGCACGTGACAATCTTTTACGTCAGCCCGCTTTTGCTCTCGACAACGTTTGTTGGCCCTGTTCCTCTTGTTCCCTTGCTATCACGACATGTCCGACTCTTTTCCTGAGGCGGACAAAAGGCCAAATAACTCTGAAGCTCCCGGTATATCCGACCCAGCCTCGTCTTTACGTGCTGCTGCTCTCTTGACTCTGAAAACCAAGCGTCGCAAACCTGATACCAGCAATTCCCGTCCTCCACCACGTGTTGACAACTCTTTTCAACTCGACTATGGCCAAATGGATCCTGCTCCACCCCCATCTTCCGACGTTGACATGTCTCTGGCAGCGTCGCTCAAGGTACCCAAGTCTGACGTCGAACTGGACGGTCAATCGCGCGAAGAAGGCGAAATAAGTGACTCGGAAGACCCTGCCTCAAAAACAGCTCCCATCACCACCAGGGAAATAACAAGCTCTGCACAAGTCGACTCGCTTCGGCCCTCAGCGACAAAAGCAAATCTCAACGACGCATGCATCATTGGCCCTGATCGTGTCCGGCCTGGTCTTTACAGTGTGTATGATCGTCCCCATTCCTGCTTTCTGATACAGTATCGTGCAGTGAACCAGACGCAGTATGATACTGCCAAGGATATCGTGCTTGACCTCTTAGGCTGGGGCGTTCCTCCTGACTACCTGGTGGACTGTAATCTCAGTCGCGAACTGATCTTCTATGTATTCAGCGAGCTTAATCTGCGACTCCCCCAAAACCTCGATGTCACTGGTCTCGTTCCGTATACTCCAGCTTACGTAGCCGCCCATTCCCGTCCGCTCTCAGTGGTCTCTTCGTCACCTCGGTCTGAAGCCCGATCGCAGCATCCAAGTTTACCGCAGAAGCCTGGAGTCGATTATTTGGGTGCCGCTGATGTCGTCGCCGATCCACCTGTCTTATCATGCGCGACGAAAGACGAGTCAACAGATGGCACCCTGCACGACATTGAACGACAACGCCGCGAGGAGCTGCTTGCTCGCAAAGCCATCCAAGTAACCCGCAAAGTCAAGCCCTCGTCCGACGCCTCATCAATCGCGTCGTCGTCGGCAGATTACGACGTTGAAATGCCGCTTACAATCCCCACCGAAGCCGTTGAGGACTTCCTGAAGACTATTGGGGAGAAGAGCCTTTCGCCGAAGATTAAGACGGAGCCGATGGATTCGATGGAAATTGATGACATACCTGATCTTGGAGGAAACAATTCGCCAGTGGACATGCAAGGTAACGTCGCCGGCCATCAAGTTGTCACCTCACCGACGGACTCGATGGGCCCTCCAACCACCGAACCTCCAGAGGATTTCAGCCAGCGCCGTAATGGAAAACGACCCAGTGCTGCCGACTTTGTCGACCTCGATGTTGGTACCCGCAATGGCCACAGCAACGGCCGGAGCGTACCCAAGGCGCCTGTCCCGATTCGGAAAACTGCAAGTTTTGCCAGTATCAGCGGGCACCGGAAACTCGTTATTGATCTCAGCGACGAAAGCGACGGAGATGACGAGGCAGGGCCAGCGTGCGAGGAAGACGCTGAAGTTGCGAGTCGTTATTCGTCTCCGGGTCCGGGTCGTATGCCGGCAAGTGCTAGTTCCGGCCGAGGCTCACCACCTGTTCCACCGCAAGCGGGCACTATGACTTTAGTGGAAAAAGAGGAGGAGATTCGCAAGATGAGGGAGATGATTGCCCAGAGGGAACGAAATCGGCTGAACAAGGTGCGTGAAGGCTGCTCTGGTCGGCGTTTGTGAAGCTGATCGGTATTGTTCAGATGTCAAGATCCTCGTCCACTGTTCCGGTTGAGTATCAAGATAACGCTGCTGCTGGCACGTTCATTACTGACCGCTCTCTGCGTCACTCATCTTGCCATCTAGATGACCTCCAAGACACGAAAGACCCAGGCGCGTCGCTCTTGATGTCACGTTCTGACTGCTCGCTGATTCGGTGCATGTATTCGGCACAATCTTTCCCCTGCCTTTCCGATCTGTCGCCTGTTTGCTTCTTCCAACATCCTCTTTGACGCGCATCTTCCATACTTATCCCAAACTGGCAACTCCCAGATATGGTGACCCCGTCGCAAGCACAACTGGCAAGAATCACTCTTCTCGCTCGTCCGCCCGGCACTCTCTGACCAGTTTCCACCCTTTCTCTTCTGCTTTTGCTGTTAAACCGACACTTGCCTGTATAGTCGACAGTTGATGAGGACCCTGGGCGAGTTGCCATTCGCCCGGTCGATGTCAACTCAGCATCGACGCAGGTGCGTTTTCCGAGTTCGTTAGCGTTCCGCTGGTATTTCGGAGACGAGGTTGGGCCCTGACGTAAGATTTTCGCTTTCAGACTCGGTTAGCAACGCAAATCCCTCCAAAACCCGGTGAAGGCCACGGAGCTTGTGATGAGTATGAGCACTTTACCCAATACGAGTCCTCGCTCGCCAGATACCCCCTCCTTGGCGGCCACTCTACACTCTCTTTATCCAACCCGTCGTTCTCTTCGTCTATACCATCTGTGCCGAATCTGCTGCCGCTCAAACAGACTTCCCACCGGACGCTCGATCCAGGAAAGAGGATATGCCAATACGAGCTTCCAGGTGGCGGTGTGTGCCGAGATGCTGAGTGTAAGGATATCCATCTCAGCCGCATTGGTCGCGAGAAAGGACCGGATGTCCTGGAGCCGAGTGGTATGTGACTGGGTTTGTCTTGATTCTTCATTTGAATGTCAATCTACAGATGATGACACGGCCGAATACCTGGGTAGAGCTCTTTCCCAGGATTGGATCCATGCACATGCAGTTACCGTTGCAGGGATCACCGCGGCCCTGGCACGAACGGACCACGCTCTTGCTCTGGAAGATCGAGTGAGACTGGCGCTCGCCAGTTTTTGACGATAGCATGTTTTCTGAATAGGAAATAGAATTTCTCTTATCGGATCTCGTGGGACCAGGTCACGATGGACAGAACGTTCCCTGACATGGGAACACCAGGGACCCCAGGGACCCTTATTGACAACTTTTTCATCAACACCGTTTTGATTGTTCCTCGAATAAGCTTGAGTATTTGTAGCTGTTGTGAATTCCAAGGCTGTGTCGTCCACAAAAGGAAAAGGACCGTTGTATTGAGCGTCCGCCAGCCCCCACCGACTTGCTGTCGACCTCGTTCTTGGAACGAGCGAACCCCTCATATCTACTTCCACCCTCTCTGACGGTGCGTCGTTTCCTCCTTTGCATCCACGCATTCTGCTCCACATCTGCCCCTCTTCCCTTTTCTGTCCCTTCCCTTTCTGGTCTCTGCGATCATTCCTGACTCTCATCCAGCCCTTGCCCCAATGCGTAAGCGCGCTCGCGTCGACCTTGCCGAGCCCATCGAGAGCGGTGTCTCGGACAACGCGTTCATCGCCGACCATGATGCCATGGACTCTGCCGGCGACGATGATGATGACGACGACAAGCCCAAGAGCGGTCAGAAGCAGGGCCGGCGCAAAATTAAGATCGAGTTTATTCAGGACAAGTCGAGGCGCCATATCACCTTCTCCAAGCGGAAAGCTGGTGAGTGCAATGTGTTGCCCAATGCGTCCTGTTCCGGTCTCACATTCCTATTCAAGGCATCATGAAAAAGGCAAGTTTTCTTCCCTTTTCGTCCATTACCAACTGATATCGTTCAGGCATACGAACTCTCCACCCTCACCGGCACTCAAGTCCTACTCCTCGTTGTGTCTGAGACGGGTCTCGTGTACACGTTTACGACCGCGAAACTGCAGCCCCTCGTCACCCAGCCCGAGGGAAAGAACCTTATTCAGGCATGCCTGAACGCCCCGCATGGTACGCTTCCCTCCGCGATGCCTGTCGGCCCACCTATTGGCCGGGCTGGTCCCATGGGTGGGCCCGGTGGTCCCCCCGTGGCGAACAACCTGCCAGGTGGGCTGTCCATCAGCGGCGGAGCGAACACCTCATCTTCCAAGGATGATGACGACGGGAACGACGAGGACGAGTCCGCGCATACAGGTGACAAACGCCGTCGCCATTCCTCTGCCGCCAGTGCCTCATCCACCGGTCCAGGCGCCTCCTCCTCAAACAGCCGTGGGGCAACATCGCCCCATCCGACGACAGGACCGCCACCGTTGTCGATTCCGTCGGGCGGGCCACCACAGGGCGGGCCGTCGCAGCACCCGCAGCACGCGGGCCCTCCGTCACAGATATCTATAGGCTCTCCGACATCACCCCAACAAGCCCATGCGCCGTCAGCTCCCCCGTCTGCTCAGTACTCGTCTGGGCAGACAGCGTATTCTCATCACCAGCCGCAGCCTCAGCACCACCAGCAGCACGACCAGAACCAGATGTACCCATCGCACATGATGAACCCCACGTCGTACCAGTATCCTCCCGGAGGTGGTGCGCCGCCAACTCAGGGTCAAGCCGGTGGGCAGCAGTTGACTGGACTGGCTGCTGCTGCCGCCCAACATTCCCATTGGCAGAATCCCCAGGGTCCAGTGCAGGGTGCAGGATATGGACGACGACAATGAGGAGCGGGGACGATAATGAGTGTGCGTGCGTTCCCTGCTTTCATCCTGTGCGTGTGTTGACTGGGAAGTGCACAATAGCCCACACGATCCTATGCACTTTCTCCGATGCGTCTGCTGTATCTCATCATAACCTTAGTTCTTGCATCGCTGCCTCGTCTTTTCCCCCTCCCCTCTCTCTTGCTTCCTGTCGCGCTATTGAAATCCAAGTTTAACTGAGACAGCTCCTCGTATGTATTTTCACCACATGTATCGCTTGTGCAAATAAACAGAGAATTTCTCTTTGTTGTCCGGAGAGGGAGGGAGGGAATGTGATCTCATCCATTTTCTTTCTCGCGTGGCCGTCGGTTGAACGGGGGAAGTTGCAGGCCATGATGGACAGATCGCACGCTAGCGTTGTGGGCCTATAGGGCGACGTGCGAATGAATGAACACTACACATCGGAGATGCCCGTGACAAGGTGCATCCCGAATTCCAGCCCGAAAAAGAACAATAGAGAATATCCACAGCCCTGTACGCGCCGGAATCGGAGAATCCCAGAGTCTGGGCTAGGCTTCCTGCTTCGGGGTCTTACCTTACCACGCGCGGGTAAACAGTTATTTGGAAATGGGGTGCTCCGCGAATACATTCGACAGATATTGCAATCGAACAGCACACGAGTTGGGTGCGGGTTCAGATGTTTACTACTTATTACATGGGGAAGATTACAACAAGTCGTGAGATGTCATCAAGTTAGTAGTAACACTTTGAGTATGCGCTACATAGCAGATACAAATAAGGATAGAAGCCTCAACGCCAGATGATAGAAAAGGAAAGTATCGATTGCTTGGGCTGTCGGCGAGATACTTCCGGTCGTACTGCTTTGGGGGTGGCAGTGCACTGTCATAGCGGTTTCCAGGCAACGAACACGCCCATGGAGCGGCTGAGTCTTTGCTCCGGCGGCAGAGGAGGAGAGCTCGCGACGTCCCAGCCGTCGACTTGATATGGAGACCTGGACCTGCGCTGATTCCTTTGCTGCCACTGGTCCCATCGCTCGCAGGATGTAATAAACACTTTTCGGTCCTGAGAAGGCGCCAGCGGCTGGCACGGCCATCCAAACTCGTTGCGCAGCACAGAGCCCAAGGCCATCTGCTCTTTCATATCCCTGCATCGTGTATCAAGCCACTGCGCCAAGCAAGAGAAAAAACCACACGCACATCTCGAACCGGACTAGCAATGCATCGAAATCCTCCCGGGTAAGGTCGAGCACGTCATTCTTGAATGCAGCCGTCTCCGGGTCGCTCACAACCAGAGGAAGCCGAGACGAGCGCCGGCCCCCAATCTCGCTAGCAAGCGACCCTGTCCTGGGTCTGCCCGCCGCGCGGTCACGCCGAACTCCCACCTGGTACGACAGAATCCATTCCCACATGGATTCCGAGCACGCGAGAACTTCAGCCATCCGCAGCCCGAGATGCATATTGAGGCTCTGCACATCGATGTTCAGGGTCGAATTCGGCAGCCGATTCAGAGCAGGCCGCGCCACAGGAGACCGGGACGCAAACGACGAGTGTGCAGCCGGAGAGAGCGCAGACATCCGAGAGTCGTCCAAGCTAATGTACCGCGACTCCCGCTTAAGCAGATCTCGTGTCCCCACAAATCGATCCTCGCCCCATGGCGCTGGCGCAGGCAATGACTCGCGTCGAGGGCGAGCGACAATCGCATCTCGCGCGTCGTCCGAGTCGGAAGAATCCGACTCAGCTGCCGGAACAGCTGCCGCTGGAGGAAATGCAAATTGCAATGGAGGATGGGTCCGAACATCTGACAACAACAGCTTAGCTGCAGCTCCCACAGACAGTAACGAGACTCACCCTTGAAGTACAGACCGACCAAATTGGCCAAGAGCGACAACGGGGACAGATTGATGAACCGCGATGCATTCATCTCATTGTAGATCCGCTCCAGAGTAGAATGATCTCGCGGATTGGGAGGTGCTTGGGCCAGTGGTCGGTGCAAGAAAGGGACATTCGCGGGCCGGGCAGGAGGCAAAAGCTCCGATGGGTGCCGGTAGTTTGCGGACGTAGGCAAGGTGGAAGTCGAGTACCCTCGCGGTTTGCCCTTCTTGTCCGTTTCAAGCGAGTTGGCCGATCCAGAGGGGCCATAAGTCTGGCCCGCTTGAGCGGTAGACAGTACTTGATAAGAATGTCGGTACGGTCTATTGGGGACCTCATCCTCTTCTGGGATTGCTCCCACGCTTGTGTTTGGCGTTCCATCATATGAGACTCGAGAACCGCCCGAGCCAGTTATGACCGACGCATCGTCTTCGAGATCCGACCCGTCTGACGGTGGCGGGGCATATCTCATTTCAGAAACAGTATCAGACCTAACATCGTCGTTATCGCTTGCGTTTTCGTCTTCACAAGTCTTGCCAGGGAAAAACAAGTCCTCCTCAATGAACTTTCTAGGGCGTGAGACGGGATACCCAAACACGAGGAGGATGGCGGACCTCGAATGCTCCTCCTGGCTTCAATATCCGGACAATCTCTTCAAACAAGGAATCCCATTTGTCTTCCGGCACTCCGAGCGCGATGCGTTTGATATGTCTGCTGCTGTCAGCGGACCGGCTACGGCAGGAATAGAGTCACTGACACAAAATCAAACTCGTCATTCGGGAATGGCAGTCCTTCGAGGCTGACAGGGATCAGTGCAAGTTAGAAAATAACCGGATGTCACTGACAAATTCGCTTGCACCCAAGTTATCCGGGTCGCAAGTTCAGATGCTCCGAGATCGGGATGCAGAGGCACGACATCCAGACCTGATTCGAATCAACGAGGTTCAAAAAACAAGACGGAGGACCAACCAACGAAATGAGAATCCTGGAAGTATCGAGTGAGCTAAGCGGGAAAACAACACATTCGAGCAGCATACCTTCCAAGCAACACCACAGTTCATTACCCAGGTGCCAGTCCCACAACCGATGTCTAATCTAGAGATGCTCAGCGAGTGACGCGAGCAAGAAAGAAGAGAAAAAGCGCATACATTCGGGTTGGTGGTTCCTCAAAAACATGCCAGGTGAGGCTGTTGCAGATGCGCTGGCAGGCCATCGTCTCCCAGACATCGAGGTCGAGAACCTCCCGTGCATAGCTGCGAGGATAGGGAACCTCGTCATGGTCGAACGCGTGATGTTTCGCGCCCATCCGCATGAAGCTCGCCCCTCCCGGCTGGTAGCCGCTGCGGTCATCGAGGCCGCCTTTGATCACGAACTGAGCTGCGCGTGCACTGATGTTCCTCTTGAGTTCCTTGAGAATGGTTCGATCAGCCGTAGAGAACTTGAGATCTTCTGCCAGATGTGGCTTGTCAAGATGCGAATCCACGGTGGGAGTCTTCTCGGCAGAAGGGATGTCGGCGGAATGTGATACGGACTCCGGACCGCTGACGGTGCTTGTTGACACAGGTGGTCGAACAGTGGCTGCGGAGGGCGTTTTGTGGAGGAGTCTCGGGGAGTGGGATTCGCGTCTGCGTTGTAGGTGGCCGTTCGAAGAATCCGATGTAGACACGCGGGGAGGAGAGGCAAAGTGGCTCGTAGTGGGTGTGGCAACAGGTGTTGCAATCGGTGGTTTCGCTCCTGTGCTTTTGCGGCGCCGGATGCGCGATATATCCGAGAGTATGGACCCATGGCCAGAGGATCCTGATGGCCGCGGCTTGGAAAAGTAGCGAGTCAGCGAGCACTTGAGCGCCACCAAAACTGTGACGCACCTGGCGGTAATGGGGGGTGTGGACATTGGGGGTGCCGTTGTTTGGAGCGTGTGACGCATTGTCTATCGGCTTAGAAGCGGCGCCGACATCATATAACGGGGCTGGAAACAGTTCCCAAGGCAAAACGTCCTCACGTTTCCCTGTTGCGACTTCAACGATGTTGTCGGACCCGTTCAATGGTAAACCGTCCAGGGGTATATTCGCCGGGAAGAACTCCCAGGGCGTGACCTGGCCAAAGGGGAATGAGATGCCGAACCGAGGATAACGATTTCCTAAAGGACGCACCTCCTCGCGGCCCCCCGTGGCTGTAGATGGCCGCTGCGGCTTCTTGACTTGTCGGGATGCAGGGACGGGGCTCCGGGCAGGATTGCGCGGGGGACGAGGCGGAGCTACGGCTGGAGAAGGGTGATCTAGTGTGGGCGTAGTGAATGTATAGGTCGAGTGACGCTTTTGTAGTGGTGGTTTCATGGCGGAACTTGGCGTGCCATCAGCGCTAGCGGCTTTTGTGGGGACGGGATTGCCTCCCGGGCCTGGACTTGTGGCAGGTCGCCGTGAGGACATGAACTAAGCGGCGTAGGCTCGGTGGTCGTGTGTGTCAGGAATGTACAGATGAAGTACAGGAGCGGCGATTGAGACAAGGATGGATGGCTAGTGAGTGGTGTAGACTGCGGATGCTTTGCCCATCGCAGGGTTCAGCGGGTGTAGGCGGGTTCGGAGATGCGAAGCAGTCTGACTTTTTGTTGGCCAAGAATGCAGAATCACGCTCGTGCCTGGTCTGCCATCAATCAGATACGACATGAATAACCACGTGCGCTTGGACGCGTATTTGAATATCGGGGTATCCATGCTATTCAGCCTGCTCGAGCCCGTAGACTAGGCCCAGTGCGACCTGTGCGGCAGCTTTTCTCCGAGAACCCTCGTCGCCCATATTAGCAATCTCCGCCTTCATTCCCTCCAGCGCAGTCATAACCTTGCTCAGGTCGAACGGCGCCATCTCAAAATCATCCCCGGCAACCGCCGATCCAAATATCAGACTGTGCATCTCTTCAATCTCGGCATCGGTCGGCAAATCGCCAGCTTCCTCATCGTCTCTATTTTGAGCCTGTTCCCCGCCGCTGTCCACCGCACTCAGGTCCAGTCCGGAGCCCAGCGACAAGTAAAGAGGACTCGAATCCGGAGGCCCTAACCGCGGTCCACCGTCGAACGAATCGTCTTCGTCCTCGTCATCATCTGGCTCCGGAGGTGCTGACACGAACACCGTGAAGTCGTCCTCGAAACCAAGCTCGGGTGCACTGGTAATCGGCAATTGAGATGCCTCAGTCGAGGCAGCTCCGACAAATGGTCGCCAGGGATCGTCGTTGGAGAATGCATCATCGTCTTCCTCCAACCAACGCGATAGTTCTCGCATTTCCTCTTCCTTGCTACGACCGGCCCCTCGTACAAGAAGACTGGGGCCGTCGATAGAGTTGTTCACCCAGTCTAAATCAGGTCTAATGCGGGTCGATGACCCTAGACCAGATTCCCGTGCTTGCATCGAGGGCCACATAATCGTGCTCAAGGCATCGTGAACACGAGGTAGACCAGGAATACCTACTCACGGCCCGATGATGACATCGCAATGAGATGGAACGTGGAGGACTCACCCTGCGAGGATGCTAGATCCTCCTCCTGTCTCACTGCAGAGGTGACGTCCTCATTGGATGAAGCATCGATGAACTCGAAGCCATTCGACGACAGGAAATCGTCGGTTTCTGTGTCATCCTCCTCATCCACAGTCCCAGTCGTCGAGTTCGTCGATGCAGAGCTCGAAATCCTGACTGCCAGACACACTTCTGACTCGCTGCCACGCATATCCGAAGCCAGGCGCTCGACATATTGTCTGTATTCCTGGGTGCCGAACACCATCGCTAAGACGGACGTCAGAGCGCGTGAATAAGACACACCTCGCCTCTCGACCAGACAAACACAACTGCGGGAACGTCATTGAGAGTGTTCGGGCTGAGGCCGGTGACTGTGTGCGCCAGAAAGTGCACATCGGCAGTATAGTACTTGTTCGCGATCTTCCAGGGGATCCGTGCTCGTTCGCCAAGCCCCGACTCATTGGCATAGCGTTCAGGAGGGGGGATTCCCCTAGCGACATCCCATTTGCTGGCGATGTCGTCCAGGTGTTGGGCATGGCACAAAGTTCTGTTACAGTGGATCATTGGTGTTCGATGATTCCTTCACTCTGAAGCTATCTCACGGTCAACGAAGCTGATAACAGTATCCAAAGACGTCGACACAGTGAGGATCCGGCACGACGGGTCGTCCGTAGGTTGGGTATCATGGGTGCCCATGGTAGAGGTCATGAAGGGGACCGAAGAGACGCAAGTGGCTGAGGCCATCAAAATTTGATCATTCATTGGGCTTGCCGCACTGGAAACGCGTTCACCACTGATCTGTTGGTTTGCGCGTACTATCCAACCACAAGTCCCTATCAAGTGTCGATGCGCTCTGACTACGGCCGGCAATTATCCCGACAGCTCATATCACTGTGCAAGTGACTCGACTTCCGCTCGCAACCGAGAGCGCTGGCTAAGACACAAACTCAGTCATCTAACAGCCGAATAAATAGTGCAGCATGAACCGATGTCTTGATCATGGACCATTCGTCCCTCATCTCAAGACTCTACCAGGACCTCGCTGAACTGCATGACTCTCCCTATCCGGGGGTAGACGTCTTCATTGACGATGCTGACGTTCGGAGGCTTTGCTTGATCTTGACGCCGCCGAGCGGACCCTGGAAGAACTTGTCTGTGTTCGTCTACCCAATTGCTCACTCCCTCTCATTCTTGGACACAGGGCTCTACATTTTGATGTGTTTCTGCCGGACGAATGGGTGCGCTGCGTTGTGTCTGCGCGCGAAACATCTCCTGACTGTTCACAGCCTGCATTGCCTCCTCGGGTTTCATGCAGCGTCAATGGCATAAATCACCCCAATCTTTTTGGGAGCTATGTATGCTGCGACCTTTTGAAGACGGAGGACGAGATCTGGCGGGAAAAAGGCTACATTGGAGGTTACACCCCTGCGCTGACGCTCCGCGGGTTGTTCCTGCAGTTCCTCACATTCTTCAGCTCTCCCTCGGTCAGAACGCAGTCTCCCAATTCATTCAATCTGACTCATTCTCGTATAGATCGATCAGGATTACGGAGGATCTACGACCGTCGGGGAAAGCGTGATCGTGCGTTACGTTCTAGAAGCTGACTTGAAACCCACTCGGGCGTCGAGACGTGTCTCGCGCAACGGCACTCCGGACAGTTCGGCCTCGCCCAGTTCCTGGCACGCGTTCCACGAGCGTTGGGAGTCAGACGATCGCCCTGAGATTGCCGTTAACGTCGAGATGTCTGAGATCGGACCTCTGCGTGACACTGTCAAGGACCCCCGGGTCTCCAGCCATCGCTTACATCGAATCGAGGTGAAGAACTCTCGCTGGGCCCCTACTCTTCGAACTATTCAACGTTGGACCTGTGATCGATGCCAGTACGGTCGCGGCATTCCCCATTGTGCCGTTGCCGGAGCTGCTGAGGAGATAAAGAAGACTGGAATGAACGGTCCGATGCCTCCGACGTCGTGTCTCCTCGACACATTGAACGACGACGTGCTGTATGAGCTGGCTCAGCGGATGCCCTCCGAATCCATAATCAACTTCGGGACAGCTTATCCCCGCTTCCATGGGCTTACAGAGTCAATGCACATCCTCCTTCAACGCGAACTACGCTGCTTCTTTCTCCGCAGCCCTCTTCACAGCTCTGTCCTCGGTATCGGCGTCGCATTCGACCCCCGCTCGCGTACACTGGCATCCGACTTCGACTGGCTGAGCCATCCAGCTTTTACTGTCCATGGCGTTCGAAAAAGCGTCGAAAAGCGTGACTTTGGGTTTTTCTTGCCACTCGCGTTTTCCCCAGCGCATTTTGAGCGTGCCTACCCTCTTATCTGGACGAGCTTGGCCGAAATCGACAAGCAGCTCCGAGCTGCGGAACAGCAGATGAGCAGGAATCCTCGCTGGCGACCTACGGGACCCGCAAGACACGATGAGATCGTCGAGGTTGTTTACCGGATGATGAACAACATCGTCGTCTCGCTGATGAAAAGTTGCGACCAAGAGCTCCAGGACCACCGCGGTCACGCGCAGACTCTGATGCATGCGTCTGAAAAAGCCATCACGGCATACTGCCATCTCTTCCATCTCCTCATGTGTCTCTGCCGCAAAGACCCGTCGATTCTTTCCAGTGCGTCTCGCCGGCTGCGTCAATTTATCGAGAACAAGGCCAAGCGCGTCAAGTTGCATGTTCCAGATCTGGGCGAACTGATTGTTCTGATCATGGTCGTTCTCTGCCAGCCTCACTCTGGAGCACAGATTCGTTGGAGCAATCTGGTTGGCCCGTTTCTTGGCGAAGCCGTAGTCCGCAACGTCCGCTGGGTCCTCAGAGATTCTCCGCATCTCGAGGTATTGGAACAGGGGCCCAGCGATTACCGACTCAACGAGACATTCAGTCGGTCCAAGACAAGCCTGCGCTTGATCATGTTTCAAATTGCCTTTCTCGATCTCTTCTCCGCGACATATGCCTCGAATATATCGCGACTCGACGACAATTACGGTTTCCCTGACCCGGACATTCCCATGAAGATGGTCCAGCAGGTCAAGGCGATCTATGTAGTCGGTACCTGGCCTGAATTTTTCAAGCGGGTGCACTTTCAGCGAGGTCTCGGATTCACCAAGGCTGTATTCTGTGACATGTTGCGTGATGCGGTCAGAACAAGTGGTAGCTGCAAGTACCACTGTCCGCCTTCACCGTATCGGCGAGCTCAGCTGACAGCCGAGCGACGAGCAATGGGTAAATTGTCGTAGATTACACCATTGAAACAACCACCATTGAAACAACTCAGTTTTGTTTGTATGTAATAATCTATCGTACTTTCAATCCATGTCTTTTTCGCGGTGGAGATTACCTGATCGTGAATGATCTTGCGATCACTGGCAGGACTGTGCTCGAGCTTGTACTTTTCTACTCACCAGGATCATGTCCCAACTCGTTCTTCCTGGTCAAGCAGTCCCTGCACAGCATGTGAACCTCAAACTCGGCCCCGGGCTTCTGCAAACCACGTCCGCGTCTCCAGGCAGCAGCACCCAACTATCATCCTCAGTGATCGCAACACGAGCAGGAACCCTGCACCATTCCGCGAACCGAAGTCGATGGTGGGTCGAGAGCAATGCACGCCGGGTCTGTGCACGAATGCTCCAGCATCTCTCTCTGGCTCTAAAGAGACTTTCAGTATGTACCGGCAGCGCAAGAGTCTGTCATCGGTGTGATTGTGCAAAAAGCGGGCGAGGGATTCAGAGTCGACATCGGTGGAGCACACTCGGCGTCACTAGATGGTCTCGCGTTCGAAGGTGCTACGAAAAGGAGTAGACCCAATTTGAGGGTACGGACTGGCGCGTTTCGCTTACTTGCCCATCCACTAACTAGGCGTTTCTCTCAGATCGGTAATCTGGTCTACGCTCGAGTGTCTCTAGCGCACAAAGACATGGAACCTGAACTGGAGTGTTTTGATGCGCAAACGCGTAAATCTGCCGGCTTCGGAGAACTGAAGGGTGGGTTCGTAACCCGGTGTAGTCTCGGGATGTGCAGACTGTACGTTCTTGTCGTCCGGTTACCGAAAACATCATCCCAATTGAATAACCGTAGCCTATTGGACCCCAAACACTTCCTTCTCCCACTCTTTGGTAGGCGCTTTCACCTTGAAACAGCCGTGGGCGTAAACGGGCGAGTATGGGTCAGTACGAAAGAGGCAGACCAGACGATCGCAATCGTCAGGTGTATAGAGCTCGTTGACCCAGATGGCGGCGGGATGGATGAGGACGGGGTGACCAAGTTCCTGGAGGAACTGGGTTTGTAGGCTTGGACTTATCAATGTTGCAGTTACATTTTTACGATACAGAGTACACTGAGGAGATGTCAGCACGCGCTTCGCCACAAAGGGGGTATCAGTATTACATGCCACGATTGAAAATTCAGTCATCGCCCGTACGGGCTTTCTTATTGGGTCGACGAGAACTTGTCGACACGGCTTCATCGTCACTCGTGCTGCGTTGACTGACACTCGCAGAAGCCCTCTTGCGTCTCTGGTATTCCCTGTCCCTCTGCCTCTTTGCCGAATCTCGGGTCCCCTCCCCGTCCCCTCTGGTCGCAGGTGGCACCAAAACCGTCGTGATTCCCGGGGTACTGGGCTGCTTGAACAATGCATCTTCGGGACCATCGTCGACATCGCGCAGGAGCTCAAGGGACTAGTGCTCAATGAAGACCAACGACGCATTGGCAGTTGAACGCTCACTTTGGCAGACGTGCAGCTGCTATTTGAGAAGAGGCGTTCGTGTTCGGCAACGTCGTACTTCCTTCGGCTCGCGTTCGTATTCTTCAGGTACCCGTCGAAGCCAGTGATGATATTGCCGCCATTGTTGGACGCGGTCTCGGTGAGGTATGTCTTTTCGAGGTCGTGGATCTGGAACTCGATTTCTGCCTGGAGTGGTCGTGAGTCACGGAACGTGGAGTAATCATAGACAGAGACGAACGAGCTGCTTATCAATTGCTCGCTTCTTGGGTAGGGCTTGGAGAAGATCCTTCTTCAGAGCCTCGTACCGCGCCTTGTCGTCGAGAGAGGGAACATCACCCATACCGTGATGCTTTGCTACTGTTATTGATCGGTGTTCTGTCTGGCATCATAGGCTCTGAAATCGATAAGATAAGATTCATCCTGAGCGCCTAAAGACCCGAAGTTGTTGCTCTTGGTATTCGCCCTGCGAACGTCGCACTCTTGTGACGAGAGGACTTGTATATCCGTCGGAAAAACTGGGAGGTCACGTCTCGAATTGTCAGCAATACTCAGCCAACTTCTCGGGTGACTCGGGCAAGGAGTTCCGAGCTTTGGTGCATGGGACACGATTCGAAACGTTCATCCGGACCAAGTCGACGATATGATCCTGTGTCATTCACGGGCAGCCGTTCGCTATTTACCATCACAAGTTGTCCGGGTAACTAGCGGAGACATCCTGAGCCCGTAGTGACGAGACTCGGGCCAGTGCATACCGGTGGCTTCCAGTGTGAGGGTCGAGACGATCTGGAACAAGATGGGCGGGCCGGTCTGGACATCAAATCAAGCGCGGGAAGTTTACATAAATTTCGGCTTGTCATTGCGATGCGCATCTTATCCGCCGTCCTCGTTCATTTTTTCTTTCTCAATCGTCACCAGAGCCATGACGGACTCGAAAACCCGGCCGATGAGTGAGCAGTTCAAGGAGTTCGTCCAGGGGCTGCAGGAGAAAATCGTGACGACATTCGAGAGCCTCGATCCGAACGCGCCTCCGTTCAAGCGCGACTCCTGGGTCCGACCCGGGGCCGGAGGAATCGGCCAGTCCTGCGTGTTCTCGATGCCGCAGCAAGAAGATGGGCTCATCGCGCACGAGTCTCTTCTAGAGAAGGCTGGGGTGAACATCTCCATCATCCAGGGCAGCCTCCCGCCTGCCGCGATCAAGCAAATGCGCGCCGATCATACATCCATGCCTCTCCCAGAAAATCCCGAAGGTGGTCTACCGTACTTCGTTGCGGGCATCAGCCTTGTGATCCATCCCCGCAACCCGAATGCACCGACGGTCCACGCCAACTACCGATATTTCGAGATCTCCGAACCTGTCGAGGAGGGCAGCACCGAGGCTCCGAAGCTGGTCGCCTGGTGGTTTGGAGGAGGCTCAGATTTGACCCCGTCTTACTTGTTCGAGGAAGACGCGAAACACTTCCATACAACCATCAAAGCGGCCTGCGACGCGCACGGAGCTGGATTGTACCCCGGATTCAAGAAATGGTGCGATGAGTACTTCTACATCCCACACCGGAAAGAGGCGCGTGGGATCGGTGGCATATTCTTTGATGATCTCAACGAAGGATCCCACCTGCGTCTGGACAACTCGGAGGGCCGACCGCGAACTCAGGCGGATATCTTCGCGTTGGCCAAGGCGTTGGGCGACTCGTTCCTCCCATCCTATGTTCCCATCTTGACGCGCCGAAGCGCCATGACATTTACGCCTCTGCAACGTCGGTGGCAGCTTGTTCGCCGGGGACGCTATGTAGAGTTCAATCTTATCGTGGACCGAGGCACCAAGTTTGGTCTGATGTCGCCGGCTGCGAGGATCGAAAGCATCTTCATCAGTCTCCCGGAAATTGCCCGATGGGAATACATGACCGATCTGGGTGGCGAAGGAACAGAGGAAGGAAAACTCGTGGAGGTCTTAGTCACACCTCGCGAATGGGCGTAGAGAAAGAAAGTCTAGTCCATTGTTCGTCCGATCTACACCCTACATACCATACTATTTACGTCCGATGTCCAATGTCCATATCTACAAAGAGTCCGAGAAGGGGCTAGACATGGCTACTTGCCACTGTTCCGTTATACATTATATTGGTCATGGCCATGGCCATCCGCAGCCCCACTGTTCCAGGGCCGTTCGCCCATTCCTCGAGCACGACAAGGGTGCAATTGACATTGGCAGCACTGGCTCCGTCGCCGAATCCTCCAGGGTTGATGGAGAAGTTAGGCATCGTGAGAGTTGCAGGCGCCGGATGCTGGGCGTAGGGAACACCTGCGAGAGAAAGGTAAGATGCATCACATCGAATTCCGGGATGCCCCGTATGGAGTAAGTACCAGGATAGTTCTGCACGTCAAAGCGGCCAAAGTAGTGGCCTCGTGCAAAGTCTGCCGACGGGGCGAAAGTTTTTGGGGCGTCGGTAAACAGCCAGACGGAGAACTGTGGGGATAGTCAGAGACACGGGACTCTAAAACTCTCCCATCCGGCGAACATTGTAGGTCGACTGTGAGTAGTCCGCCATGGCCTTGTAATGGAAGGGGAACGACGCCCCCGGTGCAATTACAGTCCCATCTGCAGGCAATTCAATGACAGCGTGATACGCGTCCTGTTGCTGACGGCGAAGGGGAGACGCCAATGCACCAACAAGAAGGCACGAAGCGAGGAGGAGCGACTTGAACATTCGGCTGCGACTGCATATTTTCACCTCGGGCAGTCTTTTATCTCCTCTCTTACGTCTTGGCACGGACAGCACCACGCCGCGTGCGAAGGTGCCAACATGCTATATTTAAAGTCATCTGGCGCTGACAACGTGACCGACTCCGAACGACTCCGCACCCAGGGACTAGGTGGATCGATGATTCGATCGGACTCTTGCCGCAAAATGATAGAAAAGAATGCATTGCTGAAAGCTAAGCGAAATAGATAAGATCGTTCTTCTTCTTGCTTTGCACTTGAGCACGATTAGCGAAAATGCCCCGAGCCGCAAGTACAACGAAAACACACCCTCGGCGATACCACTTAAAAAGTGTTCGTGCCCCAATTTGGTCGCACCTTCTCGAAGCGCTATCATGCCAGCTTCGACGCATACAGCCTTGAGTTGGGCACCGTTGAACTCATCCGTGCTACGCGCCAACTCTTCAAAGTTGACATCACCTGCTACAGCCATCTTTCGCGAATGGATCTCCAGAATGCGGGCTCGGGCGGTTTCGTTGGGCAGCGGGAATTCGATCTTGCGATCCAGTCGACCAGAACGCAGCAAGGCAGGGTCAAGGATGTCGATTCGGTTGGTCGCGGCAATAACCTGGAAGGAGATATGAAAATAGTTGACAGCCTCAACGATCTCAGCTACCTTGATTCGTTCATCGCTGCTGAAACCATCCAGCTGGTTCAGAAGCTCGAGCATTGTACGCTGAACTTCTCTATCACCGCTCTTGTCAGAATCGAATCGCTTCGTGCCAATGGCATCCAACTCGTCGATAAAGATGATAGCAGGTGCCTTCTCTTTCGCTAGTGCAAATGCGTCTCGCACAAGTTTGGCACCATCACCGATGAACATCTGCACGAGAGACGGACCAGCAAGCTTAAGATAGCATGCTTTGGTCTGAGCCGCGCAAGCCCGAGCCAATAACGTCTTGCCAGTTCCTACAGTGGTTGCATAAACCCGGGTTTCTGGACGAGAACATCAGGAAACGACTACCTGGCGGACCATACATCAAACACCCCTTCGGCGGCCTGATTCCCAGTGTTTTGAACTTGTCAGCCTGTTCCATGGGCAGAACAATTGCCTCCACAAGCTCTTCGATCTGTTTCTCGAGACCACCGATATCTGTGTATGTCTCCGTGGGTCTCTCGTCAACCTCCATCGCTTTCACTCTGGAGTCAAATTCGGCGGGAAGGGTGTCCAGCACAAGGTAAGAATCCTTGTTGACACCAACCAGGTCTGAAGGTTTGAGATCTTCGGAGGGGACCAGGCCGATGAGTGGCAAGAAGACGGTTTGTCGCGTCGAGGTCTTGATAACAGCACATTTCCCTTTGCGCATGGAGTCCAGGTCTTGATTTGCACCGTCCTCTTCGACTTCAGGGTCAACATCCAGAATCTATTCGGTATGAAACGCGTATATTTTACCGCATGATAGCCCCAACGCACCTCAACTATGTTGGACACCAGATAGGGCAAAAGCTTGTTCTGTTTAACCTTCTCGCCGTTGTCACGAATCTTCTCCTTCATTACGCTCTGCTCGTGTTGCAATCGAAGGGTCTCCGAACGCATAACCTGTCGTGCCTCGACACCAGAGCATAGTACCCAAGAGTTATAGATCTACCTTCATGTCGTTCTCAATCAGCCTGATTCTAGTGAGGATGTCGTCCGTGCTGAGCTCCATGATATCTTCCGGGATGTCCGCCCATGTCTCTTCTGCGGGTTGGTCTGGGGTCGTATCCATTGATGCCTCATTTGTTTGCGCGGAGGCAGAGGGCGCGGCTCCGTCTTGCTTCTCCGGATTCGATGGAGGGTCATTGGGAGGTGGGACGGCGGACATGGTCAAGGGCAAGAAATGAGTGGACGCGACGCGCGTATGAGTGACAACAGGTCACAACATGATGCTAGCACCGCCACTTCTTACAAGTAATCCAAGATTCACTTGACCCGCCTCCAAGTCCTGGACGCCTCTGTTGGCCGCCCGGCCTGTCGATGCAGGGTTTACCGTTATTCAAATTCAGATACGTATATACGTTCCTCTGAGATCCGTTTGTGTTGTTTCAAACACCGTCACGCGGCCTCATCAAATGAATATCTTGAACTCAAGCCAGACCACTACTTTACCGCAAGTCATGAACTACACAGGGGCTCCCTTAGTTCCTCACTCTTCCAGCAAGTATCATCATCCCTACTTTACGCCGGACGAAGTATCCTATCTTTCCGAAAAGCAACGCGGGAAATTCTCTGAGACCCAGGAGGAACGCGTTCGACAAAGTGCATGCACCTTTCTTGAAGCGCTGGGGTCTCGCATCGGATTGTAAGCCTTGCACCCTTCGCTTCAACTTGACGCTTACGCGAACTTTAAGCCCGAGACGAACGACAGCGACAGCGCAAAACCTCTACCACCGCTTCCATCTGTTTTTCCCTCGTAAAGATTTCAGTTATGTGGTACGTGGAGTATCTTTCATGCCCTCCGCACAGACTAACTTCGTTCCAAGGACGTTTCCCTGGCATCCCTGTACGTTTCCACGAAGATGCACGACACCCTCAAGAAGCCACGAGAGTTGCTGGCCGCATCGTATGCTATACGCTTCCCGGATCTCGTCGCGAAGTCGAAGCATCCAGGAGGAGAAATCGACATAGACTCGATGGATCCCGCAGTCGTTGAGCGAGATCGCCAGCGCATACTTTCAGTGGAACGGTTGCTGCTTGAGACGATATGCTTCAATTTTACATCGCGGATGCCCTTTCCCTACGTCATCAAATTAGGAAGAGCTTTTGGTGGTAAGCGATCCCCCCAAAGAAAAAAGTGCGTGGAAGGGCCTAAACCACGAAACGCAGCTGGTAAAATGTTAACGAAGTTGGCTTGGAGGCTGACGCTTGACTGGTGCGTGGCATCCTTGCGAACGGATGCAGTCGCCGATTTTTTACTTCCAGTCACCGCACGCTGGTACCCATCCAGTATCCACCCCACGTCGTTGCGCTCGCAGCGATCTACACTGCTGCGCTGCTGTTGTCTTTCGAGCAGCCTGCCGTTCGGGAGGACGATGCGACCAAGTCTCCGCATGAAGTCGCAGAGCTTTTGGGCGCAAACGGGTCATGGGAGGAAAAATATCAGGCGCAGGTGGATGATCTTGAGAGTGCGTTTGTCATGCCTGTTTTTTTGTTGCCTCTCTCAGCCCGAGCCAGACATCGCTCATACCGTGATCGACCTGTTGAGTAAGCTCTCACAAACCGGCATCAATACTTCCCCCAGCACGCCATCCTCCCCGTCTCCAAACCCGTCTCCACGAACACCTCGTCCCGAAGCCCAGCCTCAACCGCCAGAGATGTACAAGGCCGACCGCCTGACACGTTTGAAAATCGCCATGCGTGCAACAGAGCACACACCCCGGACCCGACAACCGCTAGGAAGCTCCGATCCGAGTGCACTGTACAGCGGAGAGGACATTGGACTGTTGGGTCGGAATGAGGGGACCGTGCGGTTTCTGTTTGGGCCTCCCGGGGTCGGAGATGATACAACATGATTAGATTTGCAAGGTATCTGTAGACTATCTGGCCTGTACATTATACTAAAATATCAGCGTCGACGGCCAAACCCCATCGCAAGCAACGCGAGCCGGACTGGACTGATCACTGGCGGAATGACTAAACAGCCAGCCAAGCCACGGCGATGCCACGAGTCGACTGGGTGCCGATGAGCTCAAGTCAATAGGAGAAGAGAGAACGCACCCATGCATTGCCCACCGAGGAACATGATCGAATAAACCCACAATCTCCCTGGCAGGCCACCGACTCTTCTCCCGGTAACTCGTCTCCACACTCGTTCTAGAATCAACAAAGGTCCTTGAATAGCGAAAAAGAATGTGACAGTGTGGTCGAGTCCTCGTCCCATTGTGTAGATGGCCAGCTCGTGATACAGACCAGAAGCGAGGAAGGTCCCAAGGACGAGACCCACGTCCCCAGCCAGCCATCGGCCCGGGTATCCTCCGAAAATTAAGAAGGTTTGTCGGAGCAGTTGGTGCCAATGTTTGGCCCAGAGAGAGTGAAGGGAATCGGATCCCCATGGGTTGTATAAAACCGGGGGCCATGACGAGGGAGTATCACCAAGGAACATTACCGCCACGAAAGTGGCCAAATCGTAGCACTGGGAATCATCCGTGATCACGAAGCGCTCGTCAAACGAAGTCACTCACCATCCCGAAGCCTGCCAGCAGCGCGCAGCCAGTCAACATGTGGATTGTTGTAGACACTGTGTACCGTGGTATTGGTGGAAGCTGGGGGTAAAATATGCTCCCCCCGGATGGAAGTCCGACACCGGGAAAGATCTTGAGACAAGTTTCCAGTGCATCCAACAACAAAAAGTTCCGAACGAAGGATAACGATGTTGCGCGTAAGAAAGCTTGCCGCTCTTGCGGTCGAGTTGGTGGAGGAATGTATGTCCCCATCCCGTACTTCCAGCGTATGCCCCGGAGAGTGTGTATGATCTCTGTCGCGTCGCGTAGCCACAGCGGGAATATAGATGACTTTTTAGACGCGAGGTGGCCCTCGGAATCATCCTTCCCCTTGCCTTTGAGCTGTCCTGGGGAACATTCCCCAAGCTTGAGCATCCCCTCCGGCGTGAAAGCAAACATAAGTGCCTTCCCTATTAGTGCCTCTGCTAGAAGCGCCATTCCCCAGTTATAAACGTTCAGCTCTGTTCAGCCTAGTCGTCGTATCTGAGTTGATTGAGACGAAACGAGCACTTACACACCTGGTACCTCCCACCGAAACCTCCACCCTGTTGTTATTAGAGCCACCAATACAGTTGGCAATACGAGAAGTCGTATAAGATATGTCCCGGGTCTTCGTGTGAGATAGGCGAGAAAAACGAATGGCAGGTAGCAAGCCAGAACGATCGGTGTGTTTGCCAATGTGAGCGGAATACGATCCTGGGGTTCAGGCACCAGCGCACGGAATGCACGCTGCACACCGAAATGCATTCTGATCCCAATTCCATAAATAACGTCCTTTCCACGCGATGTGTGCTTACTCTTGATAGATTCGAAGTCCTACACGGGAGTCCATGTTCATGGGAGTGCAGGTGAGAGGGAATGACGTCTCGAACGCATGTCGCGTCAGCTGCGTGACAAGCTGCGGGGTCTAACTTGATTGATCCGTTTTTGATCCAGCCACTCGATCCCTTTTACCACCGATCAATTGACTGGAATTTGCACACACGAATACAGGCGCAACGCGTCATCGTGCGCCGCTTACGAGATATCTTGCCTTCGCACGAGGCGATGGCCGGGTTGCCGTCGTCATTCCCGGCTCACCACGCTTTCCAGACTGTGTTCAATGGGTCCATAGCGCCAAGTCCTTGAATGCCCGGGGCATCGTCATGATAAGGCTTGCAATTTGCGGAAGTCGGCACTGAAATACGCGGCGGCAGGCCGCCGGCAACCGGTAAAGCCCCGTTAGGCCCCGTTTCTCCCTCAGAGACGACCAATATATAAGAATCCGCGAGCCCACCCCCTGTCGACCTAATTTCAACTTCTTCCACCTTCACTGCAAGCATGGGTATCGTTCTTTCTGGCTTCGCACAAAGCTTCCCGTCCGCGTCCAAGTTCTCCGTGGACCAGATTCCTGATCTATCAGGTCAGGTGCGACCAATCTCTTTTTCAGGACATCTTCACGGTCCTGATTGACGGGTCTCAGGTTATTATTGTCACTGGTGCCAATGCAGGAGTTGGCAAAGAGACGGCCAAAGCTCTGCTGAACCACGGCGCAAAAGTGTATATGGCGGCGCGCAGCGAGGACAAGGCCAAGGCTGCAATTGAAGAGCTCAAGGCGTCGACGGGTAAGGCGGCCATCTTCCTGCAGCTAGATCTTTCGGACTTGCCCTCAATCAAACGTGCGGCCGAGGAGTTCCTTTCGTGAGCGAGATCTCAGATAGGCTGTATGCGTCTTTTCATCGCAGTGCAGGAAGGAGATGCAGCTTCATGTTCTGTTCAACAACGCGTAAGACTCGATTCGTATATTCTTGATACTCATTTGACCTTGTTTCAGGGGTGTCATGGTACGAAGAAACTCATTGGGCCTCGGCATTGTGCGTTCAAATGAGTCTAACATCGCATCAGCCCATCTCTGACCACAATTCCAGAAATGAACGTTGTCACCAGAATCCACCGTACGAAATGCTCACAGCTCAAGGATACGATCTCCAAGTGGGCACGAACGTTCTCGGTAATTTCGAAAGCACTTTGATCTCATCCAAGCTGATCCATGATGCGCATTAGGTCACTTCTACTTCACGAAACTACTCCTTCCTATTCTGGTTTCTACAGCCTCTGCGACCGGCAAGGCTGCGCGAGTTGTCAACACAGCCTCTCTGGCCGCAGAGCTGTCAGGCGGGAAGCTGGAGCTCCAGTCATTCAAAGAAGGCCCGGTCAGGAAACGTCTGGGCTCGCAGGGAATGTACGCTCAGAGCAAGCTGGTGATTTATACACTGATTGGATGCCATTTCGTCGTTGACTAAAACTTCCCAGGGAAACGTCGTGTTCAGCAACGAGCTGGCCCGACTTTACGGAGACAAAGGCATCGTCTCTACGTCCATGAACCCAGGCAATCTCCGAACTGAGCTTCTGCGTCACACTCCGAGCATCCAGGCCAAGATCATCGTGGGTTATTCCTCGGGTGTGCTCCACGCCGATCTGAACCTTGTGACAGGACTTGATGCTTTATCCCGCATCCTATGGCGCGCTGACTCAGCTTTGGGCCGGCACGTCGGAGGAAGGCGCGACCATGAATGGAAAGGTGTGTTGATCTACGTTGTCTCTTCGAGCACAAATCAACTTTCTCGGCTTCCAGTATCTCATTCCTTGGGCAAAATATGGAAAGATTCCTAAGGGTGGCAATGATCTTGCTGCACAGAAAGCGCTATGGGAATGGGCTGAGGAGCAAGTTGCTGGAATATAAATCATCGCAAGACATAACTTTTTGAAGCTTACACCATTCCTCACATAATGTACTTTAGTGCAAATTATTTCCTTCTGGCCAGCGACACATCACTGTTCTTGTTGAAATTAAATAGAATTCCTGGGATGCAGCTCAGCTGTCCCGCAATGTTCTAGATAATTAAATAACCACATTTGGACATGTACTGGTAAATAGAAGAATATTCTAGATTACTAGTATTACTACTATATAACTAAGCTTGTATGTAGTGTAAGGGCATCTGTTTGCCCTAAAGCAATTCAAGTTTATTCCTCATTGCTATTGCTAACTACTCTATCATTACCTAATCAACCCCCTCGACCCATTTTCCCCAACAGTTCTGTTTGTTAGTAATGTAGAGTTTGGACCGGGAGTTTGGCTAAGAATCAAACTCATTGAATATTTGTCACTGGTCACCAGCCCTATCAAACTGAGGACCAAATGAATCTTTCGAAGTCACCAATTTGGCTATAGACAATCAATATTGGTGCTTATATGTGTAACCATGTACACTCTAGCTCTCTCTTCCCACATCTTAGAGCTGCCTGGAAAACCAGGAGTCTTGTGTGCATGACACAAGCGGCATTGAGCATACAAGTCTTTTGGCTAATCCTGCATAGTGCCCACACTAAACTCTCACTCACAAAGGTGAGCTGCTAGGTGCTCTCCCCAGTGCTCAACACAAAAACCATTTGTCATAATTGCCTTGCTTGTTGAGGCTTCTCCACCCTCATAATTTGCATCAAAATGTTGCTGGCTTGCTCCATCTGCCATTCCGCTTTCTTCTGCGTAATTACATATTCAATGATGTGTGACAATCAACCCAAAAACAAAGTCGAAAAGAGAAGTGAATTTGAAGACTGGAGAATACAACCAAGTAGCTACAGTATTTATACCCAAATCCAGTCTGAGTCATATCTACAACTAATGAGTCATAAGGCTATGTACCGCATGGAGCACTGGTCATGGGTTGTAGTAGAACCTTCTGGATGTCATAATTTGACTCTTTTTCATCTTATCCTCGACGATCTCATCTTATCTCGGCACAGATTATCTTATCACAGATCACGGCATCCAACGATCTGGGCAAGGGGAACAGGGGCCATCTTTATCAATTCAAGGCTGCGCGACACATGCTCTGGAAGGTTCTACTACAACCCATGACCAGCGTTCCATGCGGTACATAGCCCTATGACTCATTAGTTGTAGATATGACTCAGACTGGATTTGGGTATAAATACTGTAGCTACTTGGTTGTATTCTCCAGTCTTTGAATTCACTTCTCTTTTCGACTATTATTTTGGTTGATTGTCACATAATTCAAAGACTCCCCTCCTACCCTCCTACCTCATACCTCTTACCACTGCATCCCTCACCGCTACGCCGGCTATATCCTCTTAACCCTTATCAACCAACTCACCTTTTTACCAAATCATCTAGTCGTTCCCTGCGATCGCAGTGAAGGGTTCATATCGAGCAAACAGCACCAGCCCACGGGTAACGTTGAGACCGACCCAAGCCTTACGGTAGCTACAAGGAGTGCTGCGGAGACCTTCGGGAAAACGCATCTCGGGATCATCGGGCACATGAAGAGTTAGGCCCGGGATCTTTTTGCTAGCAAAAGAACCTTTCCTCGAGTGCTTGTACAGCACACAAATTCATCATTTTGTTCCAATTCCCATTGTTGTCTGGGAGTCCGTCCCCTCCCCCCATCGTACCATCGTTATGACAATCAACCCAAAAACAAAGTCGAAAAGAGAAGTGAATTCGAAGACTGGAGAATACAACCAAGTAGCTACAGTATTTATACCCAAGTCCAGTCTGAGTCATATCTACAACTAATGAGTCATAAGGCTATGTACCGCATGGAACACTGGTCATGGGTTGTAATAGAACCTTCCGGAGCATATGTCGCGCAGCCTTGAGTTGATAAGGATAATCCCTCGAACCCCTAGCCTGGGCCGTCTGATGCCGTGATCCGTGATAAGATAAGCCGTGCCGAGATAAGATAAGATCGTCGAAGATAAGATGAAAAAGTGGCCGAACTATGACATTACCCCCTCTCTAGGGTTGATGTCCTCATCGACTAGGCCAATGGGCGTGAAGACGTTCTCGTAAGGGTCAAAGAGTTGTCGTTGGGGATAGGGGAGGCGTTCATCCCTGGGTTTATAGCGATGAATAAGATAGTCCCAGTGTCCAGCTTCAAGAGTTGGTAGGAGGCGAATCCGTGTGTCTGGGTTGGATTGTTTCCTCTGCCAGTCTCTCAGGACGTCCTTCGCGTGGGTAAGGTGGCGTGATGGTTCCCAGGTGTTCTCGCTGTGCGGCCATCCCTTCCATTTGACCAAGTACTGTTTTCCTCGGCCGACTTTTCGCTCTTTCACGATTTCTTCGACTTCCCACTCCTCTGCTCCTCCGATCATCTTGGCTACGGGTCTCTTCTCTTGGCGATGGGGGGGTGGTTCGTGATATGGTGTCAACAGTGACTCGTTGAACACGGGGTGTCTTCGGTCCGTATCCGGCAGATTCAGCTTCCATGCGGCCGCTCCAACCTTCTCCAGTATCTCGTATGGTCCCAATCTCTTGTCGCTCATCTTCTTCGATGGTCTGTCCGTCTCGATATTTTCCCCTTCTATGTACACCTTCATCCCAACCTTCAACTCCGGAACTTCTTTTCTTTGTTTATCGTAGTATTTTTTCATTTTTTCTTTTGCTTTTTCCAATGCTGCTTTTGCTTCGTCTTATATTTCTTTGATTCTTTTTACAAATTCCTCTGCCGACTCGTTTCTCGATTCCATCCGCTGCTCTACTCCCTTCCATGGGTGATATCCGTGATTGGCGTAGAATGGTGATATTTTGGTGGACGTGTTCATTTTGTTGTTATATGCGAATTCCGCCATTCCTAGCCACTCCGACCAGTCCGTCTGATGGTAGTTGACGTATATGCGGAGATAGTGCTTGATCTCCTGATTCATGCGCTCGGTTTGCCCATCCGTGATCGGGTGATATGCGGTCCCCGGGTTCATCTCCACGCCCAACATCCGGTTCGTCTCCTTCATGAAGCCCTTGATGTATCGTGAGTCCCTATCAGTGATGATTTTGCGAGGGATCCCGTGATAACGGAAATCCTGGTCCCTTGTCAACCGTGCAACTCCTTCGCTGCTGATGTCAGTACTAATGGGTTCGACATGGATCATTTTGGTGAAGGTGTCACACCACACATGGATTGCATCATACCCGTTACTGACCGGTAGGGGTCCGATTTGATCCATGGAGATGATTTCCCATGGTGCGTTTGGAACCGCATGCGGGTGTAGGGTCCCCGTTCTTGCCCTTCTGGTCTTGGTCCGTTGGCATGCCTCGCACGTCTGGATGTATTTCCGAATTTGGTTCCCCATCCTTGGCCACCAGTAGTTCCTTTCCACCATCTCCTGCGTTCGGTTGATCCCTGCATGTCCGACCAAAGGGGTGTCGTGGTGTAATCCGATGATCTTGTCCCGTAACTCCTCGTCTCTTGGCACATAGAGCTTCTCGTGATACGTGATGAGCCCATCTTCCTTCTTCCATCCGACAAGTGACTTCTCCAAGGCCGCTTTGACGCTCCCGTCAATCGATCGAAGGGCCTTGATCTCATCGATTAGCTGTTGATCCTGCCCTTCAAATGTGACTTCTTGTGATCGGAAGAACTCGGGCTTCAGTAGCGTGACGTCCTTGTTGTCGTTCTTGCCCTGGTCGTGATCCGCTCGTCGAGATAGGAGATCCGCCTTGCGGTTGAGTGCGCCGGGCCGGTGTCGTAGGGTGAAATCAAACTCTGCTAGCTCCGTGATCCATCGTGCTTGCCGTTGGTTGAGTTTCTGCGGTTTCCGGAAGTACTCGAGATTCTGATGATTGGTGAAGATTTCAAACGTTTCCGTGGCCCCCAGCAGTAATTGCCTCCATTCGTCTAACGATAGCATGATGGCGAGCATTTCCTTGTCGTAGATCTCATAATTTCGCTTGGTTTCGGTCAATGCGTGCGAAATAAATGCGATTGGGCGCCAAATGCCGTCTGGGTTTTGGCTCAAAACGGATCCTGTTGCCCCTTCCGAAGCATCGGCTTCCAGACGATATTGGCCGGTGTCATTTGGCAGTGCTAGGACCGCATCCTCCGCGATTCTCTTCTTCAGCCCATTGAATGCCGCATGCTCATCCTGTCCCCATGACCATCCAGCCTTTCCTGTCAGTCGTGTCAGCGGCTTGGCTACCTCCGCATATCCCCGAACGAAGCGGCGATAGAAGTTTGTGAATCCGAGAAAGGCTTGGACCTGTTTGACGCTCTTTGGTTCTGGCCATTCCATCACGCCCTTGATCTTGACTGGATCCATCCGCATCGAATTGTGCCCAATAATTACACCCAGATATTCGATTTCTGTGCGTTCGAACTCGCACTTTTCGGGTTTCAGGTACAACTTGTGTTTTTGGAGCAATTCGAGTACTCGTTTCGTGATCCGCCGATGTTCGTCCAAGGTTTCTGTGAAGATCAGAATATCGTCAAGATAAACTACTACGTGGCCCTCGTTGATCAGTTCTCGAAGTATGTCGTTCATCATGTTTTGGAAGGTTGCCGGAGAATTCGTGAGGCCAAAGAACATGACCAAGGGCTCATACAGCCCACGGTTTGTGCGGAACGCAGCCTTCCATTCGTCGCCCTCTTTGATCCGTACGTTGTTGTATCCCCACCGGATGTCAAGCTTTGTGAAGAGCTTGGTGCCGCATAGATTATGAACCAGTTCGGAGATCAGCGGCAGCGGGTATCGATTTCGGATCGTCATCTCGTTCAGCTTCCGATAATCTTGGACGGGGCGTAGCAAGCCATCCTTTTTCTTGACAAAGAAGAATGCTGACGCCATGGGTGATTTTGATGGCCTGATCCGTCCACTGGCCAGGTTCTCTTGCAAGAACTCGTCGAGCTTGACCTGCTCGTTCCGTGATAAGGGGTACACCTTGCAGTCCACCGCTTTGGAGCCAGGTTTGAGTTCAATCGCATGATCCCATGCTCGTCGATCCGGTAGCGAGTTGAACGATTTCTTGGCGAATACTTTGACGAATTCCCGATATTGATCCGGAATCTTCCCTTCGGTCATTCTCTCCTTCTCTTTTTCCGCTTCTTCTGCGAATTTCTGCGCCGGCGTTTCCTTCAGCTGCAGATCCACTTCCTTCCCAAAGTCGACCAACAGGATCGATTCTCCCTCCTCCAGATCTGGTGCGTCCGCGTCCAGGTCAATTGCGTCCATGTCGATCATTGCTTGGTGCTCCTCATGACCCCTCATGTGACACCGTTCTGGGCATTGGCTGAATCTCATCGTCTGCTCCTGCCAATCCACCTCGGGGTTGTGTTCCGTCAGCCAATCAAGACCAATGAAGATCCGAGCTTTCCCTAGACACGTCAGAAGGAACGTGCGTGTCTCCTCATGAGGACCGATTCTCATCCTTAGGTCAACATAATGCGTGATCTGACCGCTGATGTTCTCGGTATTGTCGGCGTTACGAGCCACAATAGGTTGTGGAAGCTCTTGGATATCCAGCTTCTCTGCCCGTGCATAGTCGGTATCGATGCAACAGGTACTGCAGCCGCTATCGAGCAGCGCCCTGACTCCGCGTGTTTTCCCCGAGTCCAGACCCGTGATCTGGACATATACGTCCATCGAATGCCTCTTTCTTTCGGCCTGGTAATTGCGCAATTCCTGCGCCAATCTGCTGGACTGGGGGCCCTTCTGTTTCTCGGCCGCCAATTTTCTCTGGATGGCATCTGGCACCTTGGTGCATTTGGGTGCTTCTGGAACCTCGATTTCGGCAGATTCCTTAGGCGCTTCCTCCTTTTTCAAGGATCGAGCCTCCGGAGCAATGCTCCCCTTTTCGGTCTTTGTTGACGTGGTTCCTTCTCCACAAGCCATAAATACGTAGGAGTCCAAAAATAATTTGTCCGCAGCCGCTATCTTCTGATCCTTTTTATCTTGTAAATATTTTCTATTTAAAGCTATCTTTTCCTTACGTTCCTTTTCCATTTCGGCAACAAGAAAATCGTGAATATTTGTACGTAGTGAGTCGGGGAGCGTGTATGTATGATGAGGCATATTGTTCGTATCTTTAATTGAAACAAGTACAGAAAAACGTCCATAGTCCGGGCGCTCCACCTCCTTGGCTAGAGGAGTGGAGCGCTTCAAAAACCCTTCTCACGCAGTTTCTCCGCGATCTCCTTGAGGAACTCGTTGTCCTTGTCCCCGTTCTCGATCTCTTCCAGCATCGTGGCCCGATTGAAGAATGTGCGCTTCTTCCTTGGCTCCGGACAGTTCCGCGCAATGTGCCCAGGCTGTTGACAGTTGTAGCAGATGATATTGCGGCTGCGGGTATGGGTGCGGTTGATTTCCATCGGAACTGGCTCGTTGGCAGCGGGTCGGGTCGGAGCGGGTGCAGGCGTCGTTGGAGCAGCCTGAGGGCGGAATTGGGGGGGTGGTCGTTGCGTGGGGTGCCCGTACGATGCCTTGCGCAGCTGGTCACGAAGAGCGTTCGCCTCAATGTTGACACACCAGTCCTTGAAGGCGCCATACACCTTGGGCAGGGGGACACCAGTGTTATAGAGGCGACTGGCGATCTCGCTACTGAGCCCACGCTCGAGGAACTCGATGAGGATATTGTCTTGATCCCCCTTCTTATACTCGCCCTTGTCGTTGGTGCCGGTGTCCACATTGTACCCCGCATCCGAAGCCAGCATCTCGAAGTCGGAGATATAATCCGCAAAGGATCGTTTGTTCTGGCGTAGGGCCATGAGTCGAGCGGCGGCGACTTGCTCCGCATTAGAATCCCCGAAGGCCCTCTGAAGCTCCTCCAAGAAGGTTGCCGAGGTGACCCCAGCCTTTATCCCGTTAAGGCTCTCGAAGTTGCGCTGTTTCCAGTTCATTGCCCATCTTGAGGCGGCGCAGCTTGTGCCAGCCTCGTTGCGGAGGTAGGAGAGGATGAACAGGATCTTCGTCTCATCCTGCGAGAATTCCGACCGGTATGCACCAATGTAGGTGGTGCATGAGTCCACGAAGCCCATGTACTTGGTTTTGTCCCCATCGAAGTAGGGGGGGTTGGCGGCGAGGGTGATGCGGTGATGTCCTGACATGGTAGGAGCAGGTGTGATAGGTGGGGGTGAGGGTGGTTGTTTGGAAGGCAATTCGTCGAGGTCAGGAATCTCGTCTTCAGGCGGCGGGAGGGTAAGGTAGGGATCGAAGGCCTCGGGTTGGTTTTGATGCGCCAGATCGGGCGACGATGGTATGAGGGGGGGAGGAGACGGACTCCCAGATGACGATGGGAATCGGTACGAAATGGTGAATTCGTGTGCTGTACAAGCACTCGAGGAGGGGTTCTTTTGCTAGCAAAAAGATCCCGGGCCTAGCTCTTCACGTGCCTGATGATCCCGAGGTGCGTTTTCCCGAAGGTCTCCGCAGCACTCCTTGTAGCTACCGCAAGGCTTGGGTCGGGCTCAATGTTACCCGTGGCCTGGTGCTGTTTGCTTGAGATGAACCCTTCACTGCGATCGCAGAGAACGACTAGATGATTTGGTAAAAGGGTGAGTTGGTTGATAAGGGTTAAGAGGATACAGCGGGCGTAGCGGTGAGGGATGCAGAGGTAAGAGGTATGAGGGGAGTCTTCGAATTATGTGACAATCAACAAGAAATAATGTCGAAAAGAGAAGTGAATTCAAAGACTGGAGAATACAACCAAGTAGCTACAGTATTTATACCCAAGTCCAGTCTGAGTCATATCTACAACTAATGAGTCATAAGGCTATGTACCGCATGGAACACTGGTCATGGGTTGTAATAGAACCTTCCGGAGCATATGTTGCGCAGCCTTGAATCGATAAGGATAATCCCTCGAACCCCTAGCCCGGGCCGTCTGATGCCGTGATCCGTGATAAGATAAGCCGTGCCGAGATAAGATAAGATTGTCGAAGATAAGATGAAAAAGTGGCCGAACTATGACAATCGTCGCCCGATCTGGCGCACCAAAATCAACCCAGGACCTCTAATCCCTACCTCGCCCTCCCACCGCCTGAAGACGAGACCCTGGACCTCGACGAGTTACCCTCCGAACAACCACCTCCACCTACCACGCCTGCTCCTACCATGTCAGGACATCACCGCATCACCCTCGCCGCCAATCCTCCCTACTTTGATGGCGACAAATCCAAGTACCTGGGCTTTGTGGACGTGTGCACCACTTACATCGGTGCCTATCCATCGGAGTTCTTGCTGGACGAGACAAAAATCCTCTTCGTCCTCTCCTACCTCCGTAATGAGGCCGGCACAAGCTGCGCCGCCTCGAGATGGGCGATGAACTGGAAGCAGCACAATTTCGAGGGTTTCCAAGGAATGAAGGCGGGAGTCACCGCGACAACCTTCCTGGAGGAGCTCCAGAGGGCCTTTGGAGACTCTAACGCAGAACAAGTCGCTGCTGCCCGACTCATGGCCCTTTGTCAGGGCAGGCGGTCCTTTGCGGACTACATCTCCGACTTCGAAATGCTGGCTGCGGACGCCAGATACAACGTGGTCACCACCACGAATGACCAGGGCGAATACAAGAAGGGGGACCAAGACAATATCCTCATCAAGTTCCTGGAGCGCGGACTCAGTAGCAAGATCGCCAGCCGTCTGTACAACACTGGTGTCCCTCTGCCCAAGGCCTATGGGGCGTTCAAAGCCTGGTGCATCAACATCGAAGCCAATGCCTTGCGCGACCAGCTGGGTAAGGCATCCTATGCGCACTCGACTCCGTGGCCTCCCCCCCCAATTCCGCCCTCAGGCGGCACCAGCGGCACCCACACCCGCTCCGACCTGACCAGCTGCCAACAAACCGGTCCCAATGAAAATTGATCGCACGCACGCCTGCGGCCGCAATATCATCTGCTACAACTGTCAGCAGCCTGGGCACATTGCGCGGAACTGCCCGGAACCAAGGAAGAAGTGCACATTCTTCAATCGGGCCACGATGCTTGAAGAGATTGAGAACGGGGACAAAGACAACAAGTTCCTCAAGGAGATTGCCAAGAAGCTGCGTGAGAAGGGTTTTTGAAGCGCTCCACTCCTCTAGCCAAGGAGGTGGAGCGTCCGGATTATGGACGATTTTCTGTACTTGTTTCAATTAAAGACATGAACAATTCTGCACATACATATACAATCTCGGACTCATTACGTACCAATATTCACAATTTCCTCATTGCTGATATGGAAAAGGAACGCCAAAGAAAAATAGCTTTAAATAGAGAGTATTTACAAAGTAAAAAGGATCAGAAAGCTGCAGATAAATTAATTTTGGATTCCTACGTATTTATGGCTCGTGGAGAAGGAACCACGTCAACAAAGACCAAAAAGGGGAGCATCGCTCCGAAGGCTCAATCCTTGGAAAAGGAGGAAGTGCCTAAGGAATCTGCCGAAATCAAGGTTCCAGAAGCACCCAAACGCACCAGGGTGCCAGATGCCGTCCAGAGGAAATTGGCGGCCAAGAAACAGAAGGGCCCCCAGCCCAGCAGGTTGGCGCAGGAATTGCGCAGTTACCAGGCCAAAAAGAAGAGGCATTTGAGGGACGTATATGTCCAGATCACGGGTCTGGACTCAGGGAAACCGCGCGGGGTCAAGGTGCTACTTGACAGTGGCTGCAGTACCTGCTGCATCGATACCGACTACGCGCAGGCAGAGAAGCTGGATATCCAAGAGCTTCCACAACCCATCGTGGCTCGAAACGCTGACAACACCAAGAACATCAGTGGCCGGATCACGCATTACGTTGACTTAAGGATGAGAATCGGCCCTCATGTGGAGACACACATGTTCCTGCTGACATGTTTGGGAAAAGCTTGGATCTTCATCAGTCTTGACTGGTTGACGGAACACAACCCCAAGGTGGATTGGCAGGAGCAGACAATGAGATTCAGCCGATGCCCAGAGCGGTGTCACATGAGGGGTCACGAGGAGCATCAAGCGATGATCAACATGGATGCAATCAACCTGGACACGGGCACACCGGATCTGGAAGAGGGAGAATCGATCCTGTTGGTCGACTTTGGGAAGGAAGTGGATCTGCAGCTGAAGGAAACACCGGCGCAGAAATTCGCAGAAGAAGCAGAAAAGGAGAAGGAGAGAATGACCGAGGGAAAGATTCCGGATCAATATCGGGAATTTGTCAAGGTATTTGCCAAGGAATCGTTTGACTCGCTACCGGACCGACGGGCATGGGATCATGCAATTGAGCTCAAACCTGGTTCCAAAGCAGTGGACTGCAAGGTGTACCCGTTATCACGAAACAAACAGGTCAAACTCGACAAGTTCTTACAAGAGAACCTAGCAAGTGGACGGATCAGACCATCAAAATCACCCATGGCATCAGCATTCTTCTTTGTCAAGAAGAAGGATGGCTTGCTATGCCCCGTCCAAGATTATCGGAAGCTGAATGAAATGACAATCCGGAATCAATACCCGCTGCCACTGATCTCTGAGCTGGTCCACAACCTATGCGGCGCCAAGTTCTTCACGAAGCTTGACATCTGGTGGGGATACAACAACGTGCGGTGATAGGCTGGCTACCAGACGCGCTCTGCACCAACTCTGTAAGGGCGTATTTTTGCGCTTTTACAGAGTTTACTCTCGAACCACTCAGTGTATCGTGTCGTGGTTGACAGTGTTGCGTTCAGTAGGACTTAAGGGTCTACTGCCCAGTTGACGACTGTGGATAGTGTCGACGATAGCAAGGCAGTCAGACCACTACTGTGGAATTGGTCTTATGAGTCTATACCAGGCTCAGGGCTATTAGTGACAAACGCTTGGACCGCGACAATTCCCCAAAAGGGATCTTTTGTTGCGGCAACTTCTCGAAAAGGGTCATTCTCTGCAGATGGGAACTTGGGCTGAAGGGCTGAGCAATGTGCGACGTTCTCAATATTACAACTACTACTGGACAGGACTTGGCGTTATGAGATTGGACCAATCTTGTCGCGGCAACTCCCGGTTTTGGGTTAGACGTTTCCTCAGATCATGCCACGGCGACGACTTGTCACATGTCAGGATCCATTCGATCACAGGACATTGTGGACGCATCGCGGTGACACTTCCAAGTGTCACGGCAAGTTGCGCCCATACCCAAATACACTAAGACCGACACGGCTAGATCCGTGAACCGAACCATGTGAGGAACGTCTGGTGTGCCTAGGACCATACAGCTTCTTGGGGCACCCACGTTGGACTCACCTGCCAAGACATACCCGTTGGCCAATCCAACACGTCGTATTCCAAAGTATGATGCGGTGGGTTGACCCACATCAAAAGTATCATATGGACTATGGGGCAGGGTCCTGATCACTCAGGACCTGTCCAATCGTTCAACTTTTCATTACTCTAAAAGGCAACTGATCTTAGATAGCATAGCTACTATGCAGTTGTACAGGACTTTACAAAGCAGCGTCGTAGACAGTATAAGTAGCACGTAGTTTCTTTGTATTAGAAAGCTTTCCCCCGGACTGTGAATCACTCTCATATCAGATTGTTTTGTACAATTTGCGTGCCGCATGATTCCACCCTAAGAAGTTCTGCCACCCCTGCCCGGTCGCGACGAGTTGCTCCCCAGAGCACTTGTAGCTACTGTGATTTGAGTTTTGAGTTGAGATATCAGAAAGTCGGATTCGCCGCTTCTGGTTTAGTCGCGGCACTTAGTGTCGTTGCCTTTGGGCATTGTTGAGATTGTTTCCACACCTCTAGCTTGGCAGTGCGTTGACTAGTTGTGCTTGGGTTGCTTTGGTCAGTTGGCAGTGCGTCAACTTGAGAACTTTGGTTCCACACTTCTTGCTTGGCAGTGCGTTGACAAGTTGTGCTCGGGTTTTGGACATTGGATATTGGCTGTTAGTTGGCAGTGCGTCGACGCGGCATTTTGGCTCTACTAGTTGGCAGTGCGTCGACTCAGTACTTTTGGTTGTGTCAGTTAGCAGTGCGTCGACTTGACATTTTGGCTCTACTAGTTGGCAGTGCGTCGACTCAGTATATTGGTTGTATCGGTTGGCAGTGCGTTGACTCGGTATTTGGGCTTTGCATCACCATTTGGACGCTGTCGCTACAAGGGATCTTAATACTTCGTATTAAGTTCTGACTTGTTATATTGTTGGTTGTGATTGGATTAGTGTTGATTGTGTTTGTATAGAAGATATTGGTTGAGACACCACTGTTTGCTATATATAAATTCTTGTCGTCGACTTTGTCTTCCGTGACTATTGATCTGCGTCTATTGAGAGTTGTCATACTGGTGCTCTGTCCACCCCAAAGCCCTCGCATCTTTCACACACTGAGAAGCTGATTACGAGGAGTGTGAACATGTTTATATTTGGGTTTACTTCATAGTAGATTCACCTGTGAGCGCGCCCTCAGCATTTCAACGGAAAGCCCAGAATCTCAACCGTCGTCAAGCCCGCTGGTCCCTCTATCTGTCTTGCTTCGACTTCACCCTGCACCACCAACCTGGCCGCCTCATGGGCCGCCCGGATGCTCTCTTGCGCCGCCCTGACCATGGAGTCGCTTCGGACAACGCAGATGTCACACTGCTGCGCCCGGAGCTGTTCCATGTCCGGGCCTTGGACGGTCTCACTTTCTCTGGACCCGAAGCCCCTCTCCTGCGCGACATCTGGGAGGCCCTCGCCGGTACCCCCAACATGGAGGAGCCCATTGTGTTGGCAGCACGTGAGCTCCTCAAGGAACGCGGAGTTCGCTCTGCTCGGGCTGCGGAGTGGCAAAAAGAAGGCGGCCTGCTCTACTTCCGTGGCAAGCTGGTGGTTCCACGCAACAACAACCTCCGCTGATGCATCCTCGAGCAGCACCACGACACCCGCGTCGCAGGGCATGCTGGCCGCTTCAAGACGTTGGAGCTGATCTCTCGGAACTACTGGTGGCCCCAGTTGTCTCGACACGTTGGCCGGTATGTGGCCACCTGTGACCTGTGCTGCCAAACCAAGGCGCTTCGCCAACTCCCAATCGGGGAACTCCATCCCACAGAGGTCCCTTCGGAGCGCTGGGAAGCGGTGTCAGTTGACTTCATTGTGCATCTGCCAGACGCTCACAGGTATGATGCTATCATGGTCGTTGTTGACATGCTTGGGAAGCGCAGCCACTTTATAGAGTGCCACACCCGGCTCTCTGGCGAAGGTGCCGCCAGGCTTTTCTACAAGAACGTCTGGCACCACCATGGGCTGCCTTCTAAGTATGTCTCTGACCGTGGTTCCCAGTTCATAGCAGAGTTCACGCAGTAGCTGTGGAAACTGGTCGGGGTCTCATCGGCAATGTCTATGGCTTGGCATCCACAGACGGACGGCCAGACCGAGCGTGTGAACCAGGAGCTTGAACAGTTCCTCCGGATCTTCACTAGCTACAACCAGGACGACTGGGACAAGCTGCTTCCCGCTGCAGAGTTTGCCTACAACAACCATGTCCACTCATCCACGCAACAGGTCCTGTTCATGACAGACACCGGTCGACTCCCTCGTATGGGGTTTGAACCGAATGGACTACGCTCAGCCGTGAACAAGTCGGCAAATGACTTCCGCGACCGCATTGCGTCCGGAGTGGCAGAAGCCAAGTCGGCACTGGTGAAGGCAAAGGATGAGTACAAGCAGTACTACGACCGCCGGAGGGTCTCGGCCCCAGACATCAAGGTCGGAGATCGAATCTGGCTTGACGCTTCTGACATAGCAACAACGCGCCCGTCCCTCAAACTCTCTCACCGACGGCTGGGTCCCTTCAAAGTCACCCAGGTTGTTGGGCGCGGCGCCTACAAGCTCAACCTCCCTTGCCGCCTCTCTGGTCTCCACCCGGTCTTCCCCGTTGTCAAGCTGCAGCTTGTCGAGGACAACCCGTTCCCAACACGCCCGGCTCGCGAGGAGCCGCCACCTGTCATGGGCCAAGGAGCTGGCGAGGAGTGGGAAGTCAAAGAGGTTCTGGACGCCAAGATGCGCTATTGGAGCATTTGGTACTTCGTGCGGTGGAAGGGCTACGATTCATCACACAACCAGTGGGTAAAGCACTCTGACATCTTTGCAGAGGACGCTATAGCGGCATTCTACCGCAGGCACCCTAACAAACCACGCATCATTGCCGCCGCCGTCTTCGACTCCCTCCCGTTCCAACACCCCTCTGCCACTATCTGCACGTTGCGTCAAGGCACCGCAATCCAAGGGGGGGGTGATGTCAGGGGAACCCCCGCTTCAGACTGCTCTGCCTTTGATCAGGCATGTGATCACGCTTGCATGACCTGTCAGCTGTCACGTGCCGTGGCCCGGACTGCCGCGCCAAGCGCTTCTCTCTGATGGGCACATGGTCAGGTGCCCATTGTTCCTATTGTCTCCGCATCCCATTGTTCTGTCATGGCCTTTGTACTTATTGTTCCCATTGTTCCTTGTTTGTCGCTGTGCGCTCTATTGTTCTTGTATTATATAAATAGTGGCGCCTGGCAAGGAGAATCCCCAACATGGTTTCTCTTTGGATTCTCCCTTGCCAGGTATGCCAGTCTTGTACCTAGCTACCACTATTAACACCTTTGGATTCTCCCTTGCCAGAACTCTGAGATCGGGTCTCGAGGTTGCCCTTACACCGTGGTTGCAAGTAATAGTGCGTGGTAGATACGGCCTTGCGTGGTGACAGGTATGCCCAGTGAATCCAAGTGTGAGTAGGCAGCAATAGAATGGGGGGATGTCCACATCAGAATGCAACGGTCAGCTAGTGCATGGGGCCGGAAGTGACTTGGGGCAATTTCATTACCGGCGCGAGGGTGACGGGCCGATTTGCAAGGAAGTGAGGAAAGTGCGAATTGACGTGCCTCTGAACAGCTAAGCTCAATATCCGATGGACTTCACAAGAAATTATAAGTGATTTAGCACATGAGTACAGACATGCGTACACGTAAGAATGAGAAACAGCACTGGCAGGAATGAGTTGGTACAGAGTGGGTTGAGACAAGGACATATTGAGAGATTGAGAACTACTGGCAGATGAGGGTTACCCATTGGAGGGACAAGAATGTACGCACGAGACACCAGAATCAGACAATTGTCCCGCCCCGTGGCCCGAAATGATATCCCTTGAAGAGACCCAAGTCCCGTGCTGATTACCAGTCCCCAGGAACAAAGACATTGGAGAGTTCAATTGGGAGTTCGAAGGAGCAATTCAGACGTTGAGAGAGAGGGATAGTCGAGATACCTTGTGATAGGGGGTCTGCAGGATTCTGCGCTGAGGCAACATAAACAAAGCGGGGAGTGATCATGTGATGCATCAAGAGAGCAAAAGTCCGCCGCGCGCATAGATTCAGGTCTGTGTTTGGACTGCGACCTTTCTCAAGAGCGCCGATGGCTCCCTGATTATCTGAGTGTATGCGTAAATATGAGTTACCATGTCCCAGCGCTCCTAGAAACAAGAAGAGGAGTTCGAGAGCCAGAGCCTCAAGCCAGCAGATATCTCGGCCTGGCCTCTTCCAAAGCGGAGATAGTTGGAAAGAGTACCATCTGGAACCAATTACAATTCCGATGCCCCAGGATGTGGAAGCATCTACGAAGATCCCCAAGTCTTGTAAATGGGGTAACGGATGGAGTTGTCGCACAAATTCCGGGCGGCTCAGCATAGCCTTCCACCATCTAAGGGTGTCTGCCACAGACCGGGGTAGGAATTGACGCGTTGCCAAATTTGCACCAAACTTCAACATGAAATTTGAGATGGGTGGGAGTCGGGATGAACCAGCTTGATAGATGAACATAAGATGAACCAGCGAGCCATGAATCTGTTGTATCTCCAGCAGGGAGAACTTTTTTGATTCCTGGGCACCGTTGAGGATGGTCTGCACCCGGCCAAGAAACTTCAACCTCTTTTTGTTCGGTAAAGACACCTGACGACGAGGGAAGTCCCATTGGAAGCCGATGAATGTCATGACGTTGACAAACATGGATCCCATCTTTGTAGGATGCCATGGAACGCCAAGACAGTCAATCGGGGAAAGCACCGATTTGCGGTCGAATGCATATGCAAAACATGGGCCACCTTGAACAGGAAAGCGGATCTTTGAGAGATCATCCTTGTATTTCAGAGTATCCAGACGGCCCAAAGACTGTGCCTGGGTCTCTGCACACCAGATATCCACCAGTGCATTACAAATCTGGCCGGTGTTGCTGCTTGCCGATGCCACACCAAAAGGAAAGCAGTGATCCAAATAGAATTTGTTGTTGACACTGACCACGAGAAATGGCTTGTGATCAGGAAGAACAGGGCACGTTCTATGAAACGACTTGATGTCAAAAGCACAAGCCTGTGTGCCAGGCGGAGATGAGGCTACCTAACAATGATTGTGTGAGCCAGAGCGTAGATGCATAGAAGATCATGTGATGATTGAAGTTTGAGATTGAAAGATAGAGAAGAAGTATGGGTGAAGTACTATGTCTAGAAGACACCAGAAATGGTACAGCCTGCAGATGTTCTGTTGCCGTGTCAAGTGACACCAGATGTGGCAAGATGGAAAGCAGACACCGTGTCCGAGGACACCAGATATGGTGAAATGCCAGACAGATGAGATATGCATTGCGCCAAAGGCACCAGAAGTGATACAATGAGTGAGGGTACCGTGTTCGACGAACACCAGATGTGGTACCCCGTGTAGAGAATGGAACGCCATGCCTATGAATACCAGACGTGGCAAACCAGAAGAAGAGAAATGTGTACGTCGTACAAAGGGAATAGGTGAGATCGTGATTAAATTGCTGTAGCTACAAGGAAGAAAGGATGTGTGGCATGTAGGTAATGGTATATAGGTTGGTCAAACCAAGAAGAGCAAAGGGAAGAACATACCAGATCCGCAACAATGAAAGGTGAGTCAAAACGAGTCAGGAAATCCTCTTTGTTGATGAAAGCGTTGACACTAGGGTGAAAGGTGGCCAGATTGTCCTTGGAAAGATTGCAACAGACTCGCTTATTCGGGGGCAAACCAGGACCTTGATCTTGAATGGCGACAATGAGCGGAGAAGCAAAGAATGGGCCACGGCAGATTGCTTCCATCTCGGAGAGGGAGAAGGGTCCAGACATGCGATTAGCACCTAGTTCTGTCTCGAGATACTCTGCAACAGCCTTGGGGTGTTCTCGAGCTGACATGTGATTTGAGATAACAATTGTGTGATCAAGAATAGGAAGACGTCCCAGCGGAAAACCGTGTGTCAGATTATGAATCAGATGAGGGTAGCAATCAAGAAGATCGTGTTTAGTGAGTAGACGCTCGAAGTCGATGGTTGAGTATGGGTGGATAACCCAATTGAAGAGCTCAGAGTGCGAAACAGATGTATCAGGCAGAGGGTTGTGATAGTTGATATGCTGGGATAGGCCTGTGTACGTGAGGAATCTATCCCCAAGCTGCAAGAAAGACGCATTGAAATCTGACACCTCAGGGCCGGATGGAACTGTCAACAACCCAAGTGCAGGATTGGTCATGGCCGAGTGCTGCATGCAATTTCCTGCAGAAGGAACAGATGTGGAGTCAGTTGGCGCCGTGATTGCTTGCACATGACTTGATGTTGAATGCGACACAGATTGTCTTGTGAGAGGCGCCACGGAAGGTGTTGGCCGTGCAGAGGTCGCTGGAAGGACCTCGCCGAGAGAAGCAGGCAGTACTGTCTTTGAATGTGGACTTGTCCTCTGGGTGGTCCGAGAAGCGGTGTGCTCCTGCACAGATGAGACAAGCTGGAACTCTCGGAGTTGCGGATTGACCATGAAATTGACTGGGGGAGTCTCGAAACAAATCTTGCTGGAGCCATGGGAATTTGCGTGGAGCCTGGGAATTGTCAGGTGCAGAACGTTTAGGGGACGGGCTGGGCTTCTTCTGCGTCTCAGGTACAGTCGATGTATGCTGCGCTAAAGCCACCGAGAAGAGAATGGACCATTGTGTCTGCTCAAATGCAGCGCCACTGAGCAGAAGAAGACGCAATTTGCGTTCTTGAGAGTACTAGGTGGAGTATCCGGCCTCAAATTGCTGCAGGTTTTTGATGAAAGCAAGGTGTTTGGCCATCTCCGTCGCATATGTGGTCGAATCCTGTTCTGGCAGCGAGGTGGAATTGGGGCTGCAGAGGAATGCAAGCGCTTTCACAAGATTTTGCATTGCCTGGGACCATTTGTAAAGCGAGAGACGCTCGTGCAAAGCGTCACCTCCCTCCTTCTCCTCAAGTTTCTTGTCGTCGACTACCGTGACCTTCTCACCCTCGCAACAAATCGAACGGACTTGTTTTGTGTTGATGGCCCGTGGTGCGCCGTTTATCTTCTTCAGAAACTTATCAGTGAAGCAATGTAGAGGAATAGGAATCTTCTTGGCCATTGAACACAGGAAGAGATGAGGAATCTCTTGGGAGGCTCGTGTGGTGACCGAGAAAGCGGCGGTACTCCGTTGCAGACATCCAGCCAAAGGAGGAAGCGACTTCTCCTTGTCTTTCGACGCGCGCTCCAAGTCGCGTGCCCTTTTCCCCGCCTCCTCTACGCGCGCCTTCTTGATGTACACCTGGAGGTAGGTGGGAAGCGGACCCATAATAGCGCATATATTGGGCGATTCGACGAAATTGTCCAATTCGTTGGTTGTATATGCGTAAAATGCCCAAAGACGCGCACCCACGTCTTGACCAAGAACAAGACTGTTCGAACATGCCGCATGGTAATAACTGAAAGTGGCGTTGCAGCTGGTGACATTGTGCATCTCCACCTGACAGTTCTACACGTTCCATTTGTTTAAGGTATAGGAGACGGAGTGATTGGGGTAGATGTTGAGAGGAGGGGTGAGGTGGGCTTTGAAGTCGAAATCGGACGCCAGAGGAAGCCAGAGATTGGTGACGGAAAGATACTGGCCTTGTGCCGCGATATAGTTTCCGTAGACGACATTATTCTGAGCCATTTGAGAAAAGACTTTCGGACGAGCGAGAAAGACGAGGTGCACGGAGACAACGAGAGGAAGTCGGATTTTGCCATGCACCTCTCTATCTAATCTATCTACCTTATCTTACACTGATGTGATCTCGCAGCCATCTCTCACATCAGCTGACATCTCGCGCAGCTTCTTGGCAACCTCCTTGAGGAACTCGTTGTCCTTGTCCCCGTTCTCGATCTCTTCAAGCATCGTGGCCCGATTGAAGAACGTGCGCTTCTTCCTTGGTTCCGGGCAGTTCCATGCAATGTGCCCCGGCTGCTGACAGTTGTAGTAGATGATATTGTGGCTGCGGGTGTGCGTGCAATCGATTTCCATCAGAACCGGTTCATTGGCAGCCGGCCGGGTCGGAGCAGGTGTGGGCGCCACTGGTGCCGCCTGGGGACGGAACTGGGGAGGTGGTTGTGGTGTGAAGTGCCCATATGATGCCTTGCGCAACTGGTCGTGCAAAGTGTTTGCCTTGATGTTGACACACCAGTCCTTGAAGGCACCATACGCCTTGGGCAGAGGGACACCAGTGTTGTAGAGGCAACTTGCAATCTTGCTGCTCAGCCTGCGCTCGAGGAACTTGATGAGGATGTTGTCCTGATCCCCCTTCTTGTACTCGCCCTTGTCATTGGTGGAGGTGACCACATTGTACCCTGCATCCGCAGCCAGCATCTCGAAGTTGGAGATATAATCTGCAAAGGATTGTTTGTTCTGGCGCAGGGCCATGAGTCGAGCGGCGGCAACTTGCTCCACGTTGGAGTCCCCAAAGGCCCTCTGAAGCTCCTCCAAGAAGGTCGTCGAGGTGACCCCAGCCTTCAGTCCATTGAGGCTTTCGAAGTTGCGCTGCTTCCAGTTCATTGCCCATCTCGAGGCGGCGCAGCTTGTGCCAGCCTCATTGCGGAGGTACGAGAGGATGAAGAGGATTTTTGTCTCATCCTGCGAGAATTCTGACCAATAAGCACCGATGTAGGTGGTGCATGAGTCCACAAAGCCCATATATTTGGACTTGTCCCCATTGAAGTAGGGGGGGTTGGCAGCGAGGGTGATGCGGTGGTGTCCTGACATGGTAGGAGCAGGCGTGGTAGGTGGGGGCAAGGGTGGTTGTTTGGAGGGTAACTCGTCAAGGTCGGGGATCTTGTCTTCAGGCGGCGGGAGGGCGAGGTAGGGATTGGAGGGCCCTGGTTGGTTTTGATATGCCAGATCAGGCAACAATGGTAGGATGGGAGGAGGAGATGGACTCCCAGACAACAATGGGAATTGGAACGAAATGGTGGATTTGTGTGCTGTACAAGCGCTCAAGGAGAGGTTCTTTTGCTAGCAAAAAGATCCCGGGCCTAGCTCTTCACGTGCCCAATGATCCTGAGGTGCGTTTTCCCAAAGGTCTCCGCAGCACTCCTTGTAGCTACCGTAAGGCTTGGGTCGGGCTCAACGTTACCCGTGGCCTGGTGCTGTTTGCTTGAGATGAACCCTTCACTGCGATCGCAGAGAACGACTAGATGATTTGGTAAAAGGGTGAGTTGGTTGATAAGGGTTTAAGAGGATACAGCGGGCGTAGCGGTGAGGGATGCAGAGGTAAGAGGTATGAGGGGAGTCTTCGAATTATGTGACAATCAACAAGAAATAATGTCGAAAAGAGAAGTGAATTCAAAGACTGGAGAATACAACCAAGTAGCTACAGTATTTATACCCAAATCCAGTCTGAGTCATATCTACAACTAATGAGTCATAAGGCTATGTACCGCATGGAGCACTGGTCATGGGTTGTAGTAGAACCTTCCGGAGCATATGTCGCACAGCCTCGAATTGATAAAGATAATCCCTGGAACTTCTAGCCTGGACCGTCTGATTCCGTGATAAGATAATCCGTGCCAAGATAAGATAAGATGGTCGATGATAAGATGAAAAAGGGCTGAATTATGACAGGCATCCACACCTGATTTGCCTTCATCTTTGCTTGTGTGCTGTTCACTGGTCGATTGGGGAACACGTCCGTTGCAGCCTTTGCAGACGGCTCCCACGTTGAAGGCTTCCACCCATTACCGCTCTGCTTGCTCTTGTGCTTCTCTTCCAGGAGGGATTTGAGGAAAGTCAGCACTTGACTCTGATCCAAGTGTGCGCCGCCCATTGTTTCGCACTAAGAAGAGATAGGATTGAGGAGGATGGAGGCAGTCGAAGCCAAGAAAGGAATCCACGAGCGTGAAAGGACAACACTGCCACATCTACCAAGATCTACCATCAAATGTCCTGAACATATTTTTTTGCTGGCATCTGAGATATATGCGCGCAAATGTGTGGCAGCCAATCAGGCTCTTAGTATTTACTCTACTGTATTTTAGATAATATTTGCATACAGTATATATATGAGACGCAGTCCACACAAATATGACAATTGATTGTTCACTCATCTTTATGAATTGCCACAACTCATTTCTGTGGGCCCTCTAATTTGTTTCTACAAGCTCTCGTGGACTTGTATCAATTTGCATAGTGCTCACGTGAGCTGCAGCAGCATCTCCGAGCCAACAGACATCATTGATTAATCATCCTCGTCAGGATGCCGAGGGTTCCAAAAAAGGAAGGTCTGTGTGTCGGCCCAACGTCCAAAGGGAGTGACGTCCTCGAACACAGGTCACGTCAGGTGCGTGACATATTGCGGGGTTTATTGCGGGGTTTACATACTAGGTTGATCCGTTTTTATCCAGCCACTCGATCACTTTACCACAGATCAATGCAATTTGCAGTGCCATGCGCACACAGATACAGACGAATATGGTTACAGGCGTAATGCGTCATCGTACGCCGCTTACGAGATCTCTTGCCATCACACAAGGCGATGGCCGTGTTGCTATCGTCATCGCCGGTTCACCGCGCTTTTCTAGGCTATGTTCAATGGCTGCATAGCGCCAAGTCTTTGAATGCTCAGCACATCCTCATAATAAGGCTTTCAATTCGTGAGGTCGGCACAGAAATACGCGGCGTGAGGCCGCCGGCAGCTGGTAAACCCCCGTTTCTCCCTCAGAGACGGCCAATATATAAAAACCTGCGAGCGCACCCCCTGTCGACATATTTCAAGCTCGTTCACCTTCACTGCAAGAATGGGAATCGTTCTTTCTGGCTTCGCTCAAAGCTTTCCGTCCGCGGCCAAATTCTCCGTGAACCAGATTCCTGATCTCTCAGGGCAGGTGCGATCAATCTCCTTCCGGGACATCTTCTCGGTCCTAATTTACCGATATCAGGTCATCATTGTCACTGGTGCCAATGCAGGAGTTGGCAAAGAGACGGCCAAAGCTCTGCTGAATCACGGCGCAAAAGTGTACATGGCGGCGCGCAGCGAGGACAAGGCCAAGGCTGCCATCGAAGAGCTCAAGGCCTCGACGGGGAAGGCGGCCATCTTCTTGCAGCTTGATCTTTCTGACTTGCCCTCAATCAAACGTGCGGCCGAGGAGTTCCTTTCGTGAGTGAGATCGCAGATACGCTGCATGCGTCTTTTCATCGCAGGGCAGTGAGGAGACACAGCTTCATGTTCTGTTCAACAACGCGTAAGACCCGATTCGTATATTCTTGAGATTGATTTGACCTTGTTTCAGGGGTGTCATGGTAAGAAGAAGCTCAGATTGGGCCTCGGCATAGTGCGTTGAAATGAGTCTAACATCGCATCAGCCCATCTCTGACCACAATTCCAGAAATGAACGTTGTCACCAGAATCCACCGTACGAAATGCTCACAGCTCAAGGATACGATCTCCAAGTGGGCACGAACGTTCTCGGTAATTTCGAAAGCACTTTGATTTCATCCAAGCTGATCCATGATGCGCATTTAGGTCACTTCTACTTCACGAAACTACTCCTTCCTATTCTGGTCTCTACAGCCTCTGAGACCGGCAAGGCTGCGCGAGTTGTCAACACAGCCTCTCTGGCCGCAGAGCTGTCAGGCGGGAAGCTGGAGTTCCAGTCATTCAGAGACGGTCCGGTCAGGAAACGTCTGGGCCCGCAGGGAATGTACTCCCAGAGCAAGCTGGTGATTTATACACTGCTTGTATGCCATTTCATTGTTGACCTAATATTTACAGGGAAACGTCGTGTTCAGCAACGAGCTGGCCCGACTTTACGGTGACAAGGGCATCGTCTCTACGTCTATGAACCCAGGCAATCTCCGAACTGAGCTTCTGCGTCACACTCCGAGCATCCAGGCCAAGATCCTCGTGGGTTATTCCTCGGGTGTGTCCCACGCCGATCTGAACCTTGTGACAGGACTTGATGCTTTATCCTGCATCCTATGGTGCGCTGACCCAGCTTTGGGCCGGCACGTCGAAGGAAGGCGCAACTATGAATGGAAAGGTGTGTTGATCTACGTTTTCTTGTCGAATACAAACCAACTCTCTCGGCCTTCAGTATCTCGTTCCTTGGGCAAAATACGGGAAAATGCCCAAGGGTGGCAATGATCTTACTGCGCAGAAAGCGCTGTGGGAATGGGCTGAGCAACAAGTCGCCGGAATATAAAGCATCCTAAGATGTAACTCGTTCAAACTTACACCGTTCCTTACATAATTTACCCGAGTGCGAACCAATCTCTTGCGACCAGCGACATGTTCCTGTTACTTTTTTTTAGTACTTCACTCCAGGATCACCGACTCTTGGCGCTCTTTCGCGTCGGAAGCAAAAGACCTTGCAGGGTCAACTGTTTGATCGCCATCAATTGACGGCCGGGTCGAGTACGTCACTCGGCACAAGCACTGTTGGAAAGACGGCTCTGGACCAAGGGCTCGCAAGGTTGGACTGAAATCGGCTCTCATCCTATGTGCCGCAACGAGTCGTTCTCTCATGTCAAATTCGATTCGGAACCTCGGCAAGGGTAGACGCGTAATGCTGCGCGTAGCTACGTAACCACCTCAAAAGCCGAGCATGCAGTCCTTCTCCAAGCTCACACGCCGCCATCGAACCCCTCACACTCTCCTCTGAATCCCACCCTCCGTCTACTCTGATCATGGGCATCGTCGCGTCCACCCTCACGCAAATGTACCCCCCGAAACCCAAGTTTTCCGTGGACCAGATCCCCGACCTAACTGGCCAGGTACTATAACTGACCTGCACTCTCCCCCGTGTCTCGCGCCACGACGGTTGATTGTGTGCCGCAGGTCCTGATCGTCACTGGTGCCAATGCAGGGATCGGCAAGGAAACGACGAAAGCGCTCCTGAGCCATAACGCCAAGGTGTACATGGCCGCGCGCAGCGAGGAGAAGGTCAGAGCCGCGATCGAGGAGCTCAAGACTGCCACCGGCAAGGAGGCGGTCTTTCTGCAGCTCGACCTGTCAGACCTGCATTCGATCAAGCGGGCGGTGGAGGAGTTCACATCGTGCGTGAATGGCTGAATCTGGATGACTCCGCGTGCTAATGAGCACAGGAAGGAGACGCAATTGCACGTACTGTTCAACAACGCGTGGGTGCTGAGTACTTGCATTCGCCGGTATCTCGTTGACCCATTTCTAGCGGTGTCATGGTACGGATAGATCGGATCTGCATAATGATTGTACGTGGGTACTCGCGTCACCGGGTACAAAACTAAAGCATGCCATCTTAACAGACACCGATCTTTCTGTTAGAACGCGCCCTACGAGTTGCTTACAGCACAGGGATACGATCTACAAGTTGGCACCAATGTTCTCGGTGAGTTGCCGCACGAGTTCTTGAAATAAACGGGCAGCCAATTGATCGCTAGGCCACTTTTACTTGACGAAACTGCTTCTCCCCACGCTGATATCCACGGCCGCTGAGACCGGCCAGCCGGTGCGGGTCGTTAACACTTCGTCCAGCGCATCAGAGTTGGCCGGTGGCAAGCTGCGATACGAAGCATTTACAGAAGGACCCGCTAGGAAGCGCGTGGCCATGTCCAGCATGTATGCTCAGAGCAAGTTTGTAAGAACGTCTGACCTGAGAACGAGGATTTCGCTCAGATCCACAGGGCAACGTGCTATTTAGCAACGAGCTGGCCCGGCTCTACGGTGACAAGGGCATTGTCTCTACCTCCCTCAACCCAGGCAATCTCCGGACGGAACTTCTGCGCCACACTCCGAGCGTTCAAGCGAGGATCATCGTCAGTGGCTTTCCGGCATTCGCTTACCGTGGCTGAATCCAACGAAGGACTTCCTGTTTCTGTATCCTGCTCCGTATGGGGCTCTGACGCAGCTCTGGGCTGGGACGTCCGAGCAGGGCGCGTCCATGAACGGAAAGGCACGCAGTCCATGCTGTGTCATCGACTCAACTCATCGTCCCATCTTATAGTACCTGATCCCATGGGCAAGAATCGGGAACACACCCAAAGGAGGGAACGACCTCGGGGCCCAAAAGGCGCTGTGGGAATGGGCCGAGAAGCAAATTTCTGCCATACAATAGATATCGTCTACTTGTTTCGTTTATACCGGACCGATAAACTCGTCGAACCATTTGAAGACCTCGTAATGCTGAACATTCTGTCAGTGGGGGAGCAAGGTGGGAATCCCTGTCTGACACACCCATTTCAAACTGTTCCCGTGATTCAACACCCAGTGGTTCTCGGTCGTGAATATCACCAAACGAGTCGGCACACCCAATCTGGTCATTCGTTCGTCAATAACAGCACGCCCACAACACGACCGTACGCACTGCTGCAAAGCATGGAACGCTCCGATCGATTCGGTTTCGGCCAGTCTGTAATCCTTGCTCCCATGGATCAACAGTTGCGGGGTGCTCCACTTGTCCACAAATCTATGCGGGCTCATTTTGTCGAGCAGCTCTTTCGCTTCCGGGTCCCACGGACGGCCACGCCAGTCATGGTTGAACTACGCCGGTGAGTCGAGTTTCTGCGTGATTGGACAGAAGACTCACAAAGTAGAGTTCTTCGGTCGTGAAGCCGTTGTATGTCGAGTCAAACACACCGTCGTGGCAGACCAGAGCCTTGAAGTTAAAGCCATATTCAGGATGACCTTGGATCCAGCTGGTAATCGAGACATGAGAACTAATGAACCGCAAAATGAAGGGACACGCACTTGATGGCATATCCACCCCAACTGGCCCCAGCAGCTCTGTAAAGATATCGATGAGTAAGAAGATTGCTGGCGAACATTTGGCCTTTTCTTACACAGCACGGTCTGCATCGATTTGAGGATAGTTATCGAGCACATGCTGCCATCCAGCGCGCAGATCGACGAAAGGCTTTCCTCCCCAATCACCCGTGATGGCATCAGTGAACTCTGACCAGATGTCAGTCGACGCAGCAGAATAACAGAGTAATGCTCACCTTGTCCAAAGGTCGTGCTCCCAGTCGGGTTGATGGCGACGACAAAGTAACCCTGCTGAGCAAAGATATTCGGGTTCCAGCGCGTAGACCTGTGTGACAGTGAGTCACGGGAACCGACGAACAGATCAAATGACACGACCATTGCTCTTCCCAAGCACCCTGGGGTCCTCCGTGGATCAGAAACACAATCGGCCATTTCTTCTCATCGCTGTCCTTGTAGCCCGGGGGCTTGACAATCCAGCCCTGCACATCTTTGTCCAGGGCGCCTTTGAAGTAGAAAGATTCGCCCTCGTGCAAGTTCTTCCCTCCAAGCGCAGCGACAGTGAACTGCGTCAGCTGCTCGATCTTGCCGTCGAATGCGATACTCTCCTCGCTCGTCGCGACGAGCGATTCGAATTGGGACAGATCCCGGATGATGTATAGATCATTAGGCGCCGACAGCGAGGACCGGGAGAAGAGCAATCGGCCATTGGGAAGCAGTTGGATACCGGACGATGCGCCACTCGAGACGATCGGGACAGGCGTGTAGTATTTCGGCTGCAGATCGGGGTGTTCCGTGGATTCGGCCGGTGTGGGAGGCACTGGCAGCACCCAGACTTTGACGCGCGCATGATCACCAGCCGTGAAGTAGATCAATTTTCCGTCCAAGGAGAACTGACGGGGAAGAGATATTCGAGATGCAATACCGAGACGGAGAAGCGCGAACCTTCAAAGCGTCTGGAGAACGATCCCATTTCTGAGTCAAAGTGAAGCGGACATTCTTGACGATGTCGTAGATGACAATGTTGGCCCTTGACACCGTGAGTCTGAGTCAAACGTTCCAATTTTATCAACGACTCACTTGTCAGCTTCGTATCCATCTTCAGCGAGCTCCAGCCATGCAGCTTTGGTGGCATCCGAATTCAGAACGGGACTATGGATGGCACCTTGTTTGCCGGAGGTAAGCTCCTTGGGGCTCCCAGGCTCCAACGTGCTGACGAGATAGACCTGAGATCGATCAGTTTCCGGCCCCCAGCCAATGAAAAGTGGACGCACATTCTGCTTCGTGTGCCATGCTTTCGGAAGTATGGGGTCCTTGGTGGTATACAGCACTGAAGATTGCGCAACCGAGAAGTCATCTGTAGCACCGAATGGTTCCACAGGCGAGCTCTGCAAGCTCCGGTCAGAAGTCCCGCAAGTGTGAGAGATGCACACGACTGACGTGACCGGTGCCTTGCAGAAGATTGCTGAATTGCGTGCCCAGAGTCCATTTGCCATCGGTCCCACGCGACAAGCCGACCGAAAATAGCGAATTAGACTTCGGTGTGATCCTGACGACCGATTAGCAGCCCGCAGCGCGTGATCGACCGGCTGATGTCCCCACCATGTGTCCCAGTGTCGCTCGTACGTCTCATCATAGACAAGGGCGGTGTTCCCGCGATTCTCCCAGGCGTCGTCTTGCTCCTTGACAGACGAGAGGTTGCCGTCGGGGTACACGCCATCCGAGAACACGAGCGTGCTCGCAGACAGCGAGTAGATGAAATTAGTCGGGGACGTGGTTGGGAACGATCCAACGAGAGCTGGTGATTGCGAAACGAACGAGTCCGAGTCGTATTTGAGGTCGAGCGTGTACAGTTCCGTGTTCCCGTCGCCTTCCACCGCGTGCGCGATGGTGCGACTGTCCAGCCAGAATACCTCTCCGCCTTTGGCTAGCTGCCCGACACGCCGCGTTGTTAAGATGCTTCGTCAAATAGGCAAAGAACGACTGGACTCACAGGGATCTCGAGCGTCTTGGTCTCGCCCTCCAGGGCGACAAGATACACCGATTTCTGGTTCCTGCGGACATCCTGTTCAGCCCTCCGAGTCGGCGGAACACATCGGAGAAGACTGACTTCTTCTCCTTGGAGGAGTACTGGCTGTAGGCAACGAGAGCCAGATCCCCCGCCTCATTCGCGACGCCGGTGCCTGGGCGCCCGAGCTCGATCAAGTCTTGGGGCGAGAAGATGTTGAAGGCCTGCTTGAGCGCGAAACTGGTGTTGTTGTTGCGCGCCATGCCAGTAGATGGGGATTGGAGAACGGTCTGGGCTGACAGGCCCACGGTGGCTGCCGCGGGGAATCCGAACCGCATGGAGGCAGTAGAGAAGCAGATGTCTTACGTTTCCCGAATTGGAAAGAGTGTGTATACTCGTTCACGAACAAGCGGGACGTTCGTTTGGACGAAGGACAGAACGGATCGTCTACGGAGCCGATGGTTTATCGATTATCACCGGTGTATTACAGAGACGAACATGGAAAAATACACAGAGCGCAACATCTACTCGTCGTCCATACCCTCTTCATCAGCGTCTGCGATCTCGTCGGCAGGCAGCTGCTGACCCTCGATCTCCACAAACTCTCCGGTGGCGGCCGTCCATCTGCACACCATCGCGACGCGGAACGTAACCATTTTGTGCCCCATGAGCTTGAGCAGCTGGGCCTGCTCGCCGGTCAGCGTCTTGCCCTGCTCGCACAGCTTGTGCGAGTTGTGCAGGCTCGGCACGCCCTTGTCCATGTACGTCGAGAGACCGAGTTTCCGCAGCTGTGGCTCCTCGTTGTGGGGGAACGGCTCAGGAGGATCGGAGAAGTGTCGCATCACAGGCCCGGCGGGTATTGTGACGCTCTTGCTCGCCTTGTTCCCTGCACGTGCATAGTCGGGTTGTTGGAAGTCTGCGAACCATTCGAGCACTTCTTCTGGCTCGGAGTCGGTGAACAGTAAGCCGACCTGGCCTTGTATTTTCTGGACAAATGAACTGAAGAAGATGGGAAAATGGGAGTGCACGACTCACGCTGGCCAATTTTGATATTCCCGTTCGATGCTCTTCTTCTGGTGTTGTCCCGAGAGCTTTTGCCATAACCGCACTCCTCCCAAAGAATATCCGTGCAGAACTAGAGCGTGGGTTAGCGCCGATCGCGGAGATTTGCAGCTTGCGCACTCTTTCCATAATTTGCGCACGGTTTTCAGATGTGTGTTGCGCATGGAACCGACTTGGAACAGCCAGCAGTACTTCCATTTTTCGCAGTTGGCTTGTAGCTAGACGGACGAGTAAGAAACGAGGTTCCCCGGCCATGTGCAATGTGCATACATCTTGGATCATCGCCCCCTTCTGCTCCTTCGTCTTCTTCCCGACCTTTGAGAGTGTCACTGGGTGTTTTCAACATTGCCTCGTTGATGTCTGCGAGAAACAAGGCTACCGATCTTCGAGCGCTTCGATTTGGGCATTTTGGGAGGAGGGAAAGAGTGTGTCTGATCGGGAAAAATTAGGCGAAGGCACATCAGGGGTTAGGGTTAGAGGAATTCACGGTCATGTGACCTGACCAGCATTTGTGGCTCGTCACTTGCTGTTTACAAGATACACTGCTTATGAATTGGATGTTTGGATTGGATGCAGGGTCAAGAATAGACCCTGCCGACTCCATGACACTGATTACAAGGGACGTCCACCAGTAAGATAGTGTTCACTCCCCTGCCATCACATCGGAAACAGCGCTGACCCCCCAACCGGGTGTCTCCTGGGGAGTAGACTACAGCCCCTGGCGGCGGTCCGGTCGGGTACATCATCGTCGGCATCGAACTGTACATCGTTTGGACAGGATAGGATCCTTGGGGGCGGATCGCTGGGGGCAGTGAATTGGTGATCCGCACCGGCAGGGGACGTTGTAGATTCGTCAAATGCGATGATCCGGAGGAAGCATCCGGGGCATAGACGAGAGCGCCAGCGTAGGGTCGCGCATAATGATCCCAGCATTTCGAACAAGGTCGAGTCGGGTCGAAGTTCTTGTATCCCGAATTGCTGCACTTGTGACATTGATATCTGGGTTGCGTGAGCACAGGCCGCCAGCAAGGTCGCTCGAAACATCGCACCCCCGTGGATATACCAACGTCTTCCCGTTTCTAAGCAACGGGTGCCCAGGTGTGGGCATGGTGGTCGGTCGCTGGTCATCAGGTGCTGATGGCACTTTCTGTTCTACAGGCGGAGGGCCGGGAGGTGGCGCATATTGCTGCTGCAGCGAAGGAGGCCCTGGAGGTGGCGCATACTGCTGCTGACTGCCCGAAGTCGAAGGACCTGCGCCCGAGGCGTAAAAATCTCGCGCGAAATCCGATATCGGCCCGGGTGGCGCTTGCGATGGATGCATGGGAGGGGGCGGATACTGAAGCGCAGGGCCGGACCAGCCGTGGGGAGGAGGAGGGTGATATTGCTGATGCTGCTGCCCAGGTGGATGAGAGTACATTCCGGCAGTCAGTTGAGGCTGCGGCGGCGGGGGCTGGAACGGGCGAGCAGGCCCATATTCAAGAGATCTTTCGCCCTGGTAGATGTCAGGCCCGAGAGTGTACGCTGGAGGCATATCCTCGCTCAACAGCTCGAGACTTGCGTCCGAGTTGGACGAAGCTGGTGTTGATTCGGCATGTACGGGGCCAGAGGATGATGGTGCTGCTGTGTGGACTTGAGAGCCACCAGGGGGAGGCGGGCCTGGGGGTGGTTGATAGCTCGCCCCGGTCGGAGTCGGGGCTACTTCTGCGCGGGACAAGAACGGATTGTATGGTGAGTGAGGAAGTTGGGCCATGACCTAGTGATTTGCTGTGTCATCACTGTTTGGCGACAATCGGACGTAGCTTGGCAAGACTGCGCATTGGTGGACCAGTGGCTGAGCAAAGCTCATACATCCGTGTTTGGTTAGAACTACCATCCGATACACCCTTCATCATGATCAAATTGAGCATGGCTGCCGACGTCGAACCTGACTAGAGTGCTACGGAGTAAGAGTGGGGGCGGAGTTCGGACTACTCGACGATTGATCGCTTCTTCATTGGTCTCACTGCCACCCGTCATGCCAGGATATGTATCGGCCATCGGCCATCGGCACCGATCTCCGAACTGACTCGTTAACATCGACTCTATTCTCCTACCCAACTTTATTCGACAATGAGGTACTTTTCTACCCGGGGTGGCAAAGAGCGACTCTCCTTCGAAGAGGTGATTAATCGATTGCCTGTCTCTAGCCGCATCTCATTTAGCCCCCCACCCAGACCGTCCTCACCGGTCTAGCACCCAACGGCGGATTGTACATCCCTGAAGTTATCCCAGCATTACCAGCAGACTGGCAAACAAAGTGGAAGTCCTACTCCTTCGTCGATCTCTCAGTCGCTGTTCTATCGCTCTACATCTCTCCCGATGAAATTACAACATCCGATCTCCGTGCACTCGTGGAAAAGTCCTACTCTACGTTCCGACATCCAGATGTCACACCGCTCAAAAAGCTCGATGATAAACGATTCGTTCTCGAGCTCTTCCACGGCCCCACCTTCGCGTTCAAGGATGTTGCTCTCCAGCTGCTTGGGAACCTCTTCGAGTTCTTCCTCAAGAGAAGGAACAGCAGGAAAGCGGAGGGAGAGAAGAAGGAGAAGTTGACCGTCGTCGGAGCAACCAGTGGAGACACAGGAAGGTGAGTCGTTTCGCCCTTCAAGCATTACGCTCTTTGTGACACGACTCAGCGCGGCGATCTATGGCTTGAGGAACAAAGCAGACATCTCCATCTTCATCCTCTTCCCCACTGGGCGCGTGTCGCCGATCCAAGAAGCGCAGATGGCAACAGTGACGGACGCGAACGTGCACAACATCTCTGTCGGAGGAACGTTCGATGACTGTCAGGTTGTGCTTCCAGCATCCAGCCCACTCTATGCTGACGATCGTTCAGGACATCGTGAAAACCTTGTTCGGCGACGCGGAGTTCAACGCGACTCACCGTCTCGGTGCCGTCAACTCGATCAACTGGGCTCGCATCCTCGCCCAGACGGTGTATTACTTCCTGGCGTACTTCCATCTCTCGCCCGAGCCTGGGACCGAAGTCCAATTCGTCGTGCCCACGGGAAATTTCGGCGACATCCTGGCGGGATACTACGCCAAACGCATGGGCCTGCCGATGTCGAAAATGGTCGTTGCCACCAACTCGAATGACATCCTCGCGCGATTCTGGAACACCGCACGGTACGAAAAGGTGGATTCCGCACCGATGACGGACGGGAAACAGGGAACGGCGGCGGCCGGTGTTCGGGAGACCCTCTCACCTGCCATGGACATTCTCGTGTCTAGCAACTTTGAGCGGCTGCTCTGGTACCTCGCGTTCGAAGCTGTGGGTTCCGAGCACGAGAAAGCGTGTGCGACCTTGGCGAGCTGGATGAGCGAGATGAAGGCTGATGGTCGGGTTGATATTCCCACCTCCGTCATCGAGCTGGCTCGCCGGGACTTCTTTGCTGAACGGATCTCGGATGAGCTGGTCCGTGCCATAGCCTGGCATGTCTCGTTTGCACTGGGCTGATCTGATCAATAGACTCTGGAAACCATCCGCTCGCACTTTGAAGCCTCTCCGTCTTACGTGGTTGATCCTCACACCGCCGTTGGTTTGGCGGCTGGGAAGATCGTTGCTTCCAAAAAGTACGATCTGTTCTCGAGTCCTGTGGAATCGATCTGTTCTCAACGCCTCTCCCCAGCCCTAGCTCCGTTCGCCAAGTCATGTTGTCGACGGCTCACCCAGCCAAATTCTCGGAGGCGGTGAATCTGGCGCTCAAAAACAATGCGTCCTTCAATTTCGAGCAGGACGTCCTCCCCACCGAATTCGTGGGCTTACTGGACAAGGAACGGAATGTCATCAGCGTGCCAAGGGCTGACATCAACCTGGTCAAGGAAGTGATCGAAAGCTTCGCGGAGAAGGATACCAAAGACACCGGAATCGTAGGAGTGTAGGAGAGGTCAACCAAAAAGTGGAGTAGATTTAGCACAACAATCAATGTAACAGACGTACAACTTTTCGTGGAAACCACGCTACGCAACTCGAATCCATGCTGCCAGCGACACAAAGGAATGATTTTGCGGGTGCTTGGCGCAAAAGGCAAGGAGAGCCTCGTCTCGACCCTCGGACGAGGTCCCGGTGGCTTCCAGAATCTTCGCAAGATCAACGGGACACACAAACAACGGCTGGCGCGCGTCTTCTCGCAGCGACGTAGTGCCCTGCATGGCGCACGCGTAGTAAACGCAGTGATCGATTCCGAAACAGTGCCCCAGCTCGTGACTTGCAGTGCGGCACGCCCGCGCAAGCCACAGCGACGACAGTGCGGCCGCGGAGTTCGTGTTGACCAGAGAAGGAAGGGCAGCATAGGCTGCAACCGCTGCATGTAACGGTGAAGTTGAAAGGGAGCCAGGACCATTTCCTTTGCGCCTTTTCGCCGGTCGCGCTTCGGAGCAGCAAGCAGTCATGTAGGCTTGACAGTGCGACGCAGGCCATGCATGAAGCCTTTCGACGTCTTGCATCCGATCCAGCCCGGGGTGGTATCTGGAGCATAGATGAACCCCACACCTATTATTCCAGAAGAAGCAACCCACCGTGCTGTTGATATGACAGCGACGCGACTTCCACCATACGCGCGTCCGCAAGCAAAATCATCGTCTGCACGCTCGTAGATATCCCAGGGGACGACTACCACCATGGCATACGCGTCAGGGGGGAGTATCCCAATCGCGGCGTCGAGCAGATCGTCGAGATTGAGCTGCCTGCTAAAGATCCCGTCGTGTGATGCGCGGGTGCGAATCCGCACGCATTCGTCGCCCGCTTTGAGCCCAACATAACGCGGTGTCCGAGACGCGCGTTTGGGCGCACTCCAACTCGTGAAACACAGACTCCGACTCGACAATCGTTTCACGTCCATCCCGTGATAGAACGCGCGTAGATAATCAACCATGTCCTCGACTTTGGGGCGCTCAATCGCGACGCCCTCAGCACCGTTCGGCTCGCGCCACGACTCCATGAAAGGCACAGTGTCGTCGACTGCAGGCGGGGCGACCACATACAGTGTGCGGCGAGACGTCTCCACCGGATTCCGGTCCGCATCCGTCCGCCATTCTTGGATGCTCTGTGCGGGATAGTCTGGATCTTCAGCCAGGTCGTCGCCAGGAAGGACGAGAGGTGCGCAGAACCGATGATCCTCCAGACTGCCATTCATCGGGAGACCTGCCGCAGCCTGCCGCTGCTGCAGTGATGGTCGGGAATATCCATACTCTGAAGCCAGGGGGGAGCAGTCGAAACAGAGCACTTCATGCGAGCATGGGCAAGTCATGGCGCAGAAGAGAGATGGATGCTAGTCCGTGTCATTGTCACAAGCAACCATGGGTGTTGGGTTGCACTCAAGCTCAGATTGTGTAAGATGAATGAAACCGCATAATTTAACATGTTTCCTGGCAATAAATGCGACGAAAGTATCTACTCCTCGAAAGTTTGAAATCAATTCGTCTGGGCACCGACAGCCTTGGACGCAAATTATCAGCACACGCAGGAGAAGACGACAGTTTGACCACTCACCAGTCTCTTGAGATGCTCCATGAACACTTGCAAGCTCACATCATCTGTGAAGATGGCCTGTCCTGCAGCGTTGTTTTGCGATCCGTACATCGTGTTGGACATGTGGGTGGTCGACGGATTCAGCTTGGACAACAAGAATCGCGCTTGACTGCCTCCCTGGTCACACACAATGTACCGAGGAATCGGGAATCGTTCTGTGAGCAGTTCCTGGAGATTGTGTCAGAGTCAACGAAAATGTAGGTTTCTGAGCAGACTTATGTACCTGAGCATCAGCGACAGGTAGTTCGAGCAACTCCTTGAAGTTTTCGTAGCCCTCCTGATCCTGGTAGCCCTGTTTCCTCCACTGGGCGACAAGCTCTCCATGGAAGATGAGGATGTGGAAGAACGTGTCCAGCAACAGGATGACGTCGTGTTTGATCGACACGCTGTCCAAAAGCACGGGCTGGGGCTGCTGGTCAAAGGTGTACGACATCAACGTAGGTTGGATCATGATCAGTGAGTTGTTAACATCTTCCTCATTCAAGATGTGCCTGAGGACTCGGCATGAGAAACAAAGATACCCAACATATTAGAGGCAGAAGACTGACCTGTAGAATGCAGACTCGTCCGGACTGTTGTTGAACACCTGCAGAAACTGACTTCTCCGCAGATGGAACATGAATTGGGGATAAATGCTGAAGTTGTCCGTCAACCTGAAGCTAGTCGGGTCCTCCTTGCGGTAATCGGCGAACTTCTGGCACAGCCTGATCAACATACGATCCAGCCACCGCAGGACATCAGGTGAGTCGTCGATCTCAGCCTTGAAAACGGCAATGCGAGCCATGAGGACAGCAGCAGTCTCCTGGTCGAACGACGCCGGGATACTGGGAGAACCAGCCTCCGCAAAGTTACGAGCAATAGTGGTCACTCGTAGCCGCTGGAAGCCAGACGAGTGTTGGTAGTGGGTGACGAATTGGATCAGACCACGCGAGCCTGGTGCTAATGGCTGGCCGGCAGGAGTTACCACCTCAAAGTAGACACCCGTAGCCGTGTGCGGTGTGATCACATTGATCTTCCAGGCCGATGTCTGGCCGATACCAATTTCTGTCTCCCCGACACAACCAGACTTTTTGCCAGCCGAGATGGCATGTCCAATCAGGCCAGAAACCTTGAGTTCTTTCGTGGTCTGATCTCGAGTTGAGTTCGAAGTGAAACTGCTGGTTGCGTAGACCATACCTGGACATCAAACGTAGCATTGAAACCCATCTGCAGGTGGCCCTCCTCGTCCTTATTGAACAGACGCAGGAAGCTCTGCTTGAAGATGGACGTGGCGAACGAGTCAGATAAGACGATGACTCCGTTGGTGCTGTTGGGCAGCGACTTCATCTCCAGCAGACCGACTTGGTCCAGACATCCCGCAAACAAGTCGACCGCATGCCCGTTGTTCGAAACACGCTTGGCGAGGCCTTCGTAGAACTAGTAGGAGATGAGAAACCTTTCGATCGAACGTACGCGTGCCTCACCTTGATCGCCCTCTTGTAGTGCTTGACGGTGTCCCGTTCTATGTCGTGATGGGACCGGATGGGCTCCTTGAGCTCGTTGCTGACGACCATTCCGGGACCCTCTGTGGCAGGACCACCAGCAAACAACATGATGCGAGCACCCGTGTTGGGGTAAGTAGTCTAGACCTTGATCAGTAGCTTACAAGGACGGCTTGGCCAAATAACTCACCTCGAGAAGGCCGACGGCCACACTGAGCGCAACACCAGTGCATCGCAGAGGACGCTTGTCGCTTGCAACGGGCCACGGATCGCGCACAAGGCCTTCCAAGATGCCAGTCAACTGGAACTCGCATTGCTGAACCGGGAGCAAGAATCTCGAGGCGCCGAAGGACTGTGTAGGCATAGGCTGTCCTGGACGGGGGGCAGCGCGCGACTGGGAGCTCAGTCCGAGCATATCTTGAATCTGTTTGGGCTGATACTCTTTTCCGCCTCGGAACACGTAGGACTTGTTGCACTCGGCATATCCAATTTCGTGGACTTGGGTCTGATATCCCCGTCAGTGGATATACGATGATGAGAGTTCAAACCTGCGTACCATTGTACCGTAGGTGATGAGCCCCACGAGGGAATACGGAGGGATCAAGCTTAAGCTGACGACCAGTGCATCACGCAGAGCCTTCAGGTCCTCCTCATCCAGACACGTATCCACAACGAAAAGGAAGATCGGCGGAACCTGGGCTGGGCGAGCAAGGGTGTATTCGATGGTGGTGTATTTTGGTAAAAGTTCGGCAGGGAGGTTCGTGTTGGATATGTCCTTGTAGTGAGGAGGGAAGGCATTGCGAGACAGACAGAAGGGGCAAATCCAGAGTTTGCCACGAATATCGATTTGGCTTGCAGGGACTGAGAATGGCTAGAGAGGAGTAGTCGCAGGACGCACCAGTAAGGGTTGAGGATAGCGCGACACGGAGGCTTGCACGCTACCGGCTCGTACAAGACTGGGGGCAGATCCTCGCGCTGCTTCAGGGGTGTGTATAGGGCTGAGATAGGAACGACGGTTCTGGTCGCCTCTATACGCGACGAGGGCCATACATTCCAGGAGAGGCGGACACCTGTGAGGTGTGAGCTCCAAGCCCTAGAGGCGTAGACATTGAGACTTCACCATCGCGCTCTTCAACGTCCTCGAAATCGACCATGATGTTGTTGCTGTGCTTGTGTGTGTCGCGTAAAAGTCAGAGGTGTCGCAGACAACCTTCCACGTAGTAATTCGTGATCAAGCTTGGCCGCCGTTATAATACGAACAAACACTGCGCGCTCCCGTGCCTTTTCCCAGCGTCCGCGTCATGGAACGCGTAGGGACTTTTATGATAACAGAAATCTTATTTCTGTGACTTGCATGTTTCCTGAGTGTATTACTTGCAATAGCGTAAGCACTTTTGGATATTACATGACCACCGTCGCGGGCATTCAAAGCATGGGTCCAACTCAAGGCTACATATCACCGGTCTCTATCAAGGAGTCTCAGCTCCTGGCCTAGCACTTCATGCAAAAATCAACTGAAAACGCGAAGATGCCTCAGACTGAGCTTGGAACACGATCATGGAGGACACCACTCTCTACTGGTGTTACACAAATGTCCATGCATGTTCGGAGATGTTGTGAATCCTCTCTAGGCGCTCTCCCGTGAGCTCGAGACATTCGGGGAGACCAGTGTCCACCCAAGATCCGCCCTGCATGAGGGTCACCAGCCCGGGGCACATGTGAATATATGTGCCATTCCATGTCCATGAAATCCAGCACAAATCCACTGTCCTGGGCGATCTGGCACTTGTCCAATGAACGGCAAACCATCTGCGCTCTGGAGATCAAGATCAGATACTCGAATGGAGAGGAGCATGATATTTGATCACGCTCACCTCCCCAATAATCCCGCTCCACGAATAATCAGACCCAACCCCAGGTGCTGGTGTATTTTCATTCCACCCTTCAAACGATGTGGAAGTCAGGTGATTGACCGCCTCTGTGACCGGCTGGAAATTGCTCAGGCCGTCGTTGAAGAGCCGCAGAGGATCTTCAGCGAGGTAGGCCTTCAGCTTCCGTTGATTAGGGTTGTCGCCACCGAATAGCACGATTCCGTCGCCGTTTGCTTGCGGATTGATGCTGTACATCGAGCCGCCGTCCATCAGAACACCGTACGAATTTTGCAGAGCTTTGCTGCCAGCAAAGGATCGCGGAGGGATGACTCTGTCGCACATGTGCGCTGTCGGTTGGATGTATCTACTGAACGATGGCAGGATGCCAGAGGTGTATGCGTTGGTCGCGTAGACAACTGTGGGCGTCCGGATCGACCCCCGTTCTGTATTGACGTTCCACGAGCCTTCGGCGTCTGCGGACGGCGTGACACTTTGCACGGGTGTCCATGTTTGCAGATTGGCGCCTGCAGCGATATTCAACTTCATCAAATGGGCCACTGCATGTAACAGCTCAGATGCAATCTTTCGGCAGACCAAATACCACTGATACCCAGTTTCCACGGGTAAAAGGTCGACGCAGGCCATGCCCAGACAGCTTGAGCACCTTTCAGGCGGGAAATCTGGAGATGATCAGTCGCTCTCCGACATGATTATCGGGTAGCAAGCGGAACCTTTTCAGCTTCTGCAGGATCATCGATAACTTTGATGTGATCCACCTTCCCCCCGTAGGATTTATATGCGTCAAATATTTCTCGAACGTCTGCTGCGACTGTTTCAGACATGGCAACATCGAGCTGAGGGGGAGAGAGTCGCATATAGCACGCATTTCCGAATAAAAGCAGCAGTGCGGACCGTGTCCCCGATCCAGAGCTCGCAGTCTATCTTCTCTCGTTCCACAAAAGCCACCAGTCGACTCCAAGTTTCAAACTCATGTTCCAGAAGCTATGAGCCGGTCAGCCTGGGGGATTCTGCGCATTAATCTCCCCGCACCTTCTTAGCCTGCTCCTTACCGAATCGTTCCGCATACCGTGCAAATCCTCGAAACTGCGAGGGCACTATAAGCAAAGTATCGCATAAAGCAACGCGTTTCGACGCGCGCCTGATCCGGTTTACAATGGCCCGCGTTCCGCCCCGTTGCACCCGAGCAGAGCTCCCTGGCTTCGAGAATGACGATCCGTCCCGGCGCATTCGGGCGCGTCAGAAGCTCATACGCCGCCAGAGTCCCTGTCATCTATCTAGCAGCGTAAGAGATTTACGACCGAGAGGGAGCGGAATGTTTGAACCGTACTCCAGACCCAATTATGACCACGTCTGCGGTTTCGGGCAGGTCCACCGTCGTTCGATGGTCAATCAGTGGGGAGCCGCGAACGCCTTGGAGCCAGTGGGAAAGAGACATGCCCTCGGGAATGGGAAACGCCTTTCCACCACCCAGAGTCGCGTCAAAGGTCGCGTTTGTTGGAACACGCTGAGTGGAGGCTGAAGAGCCCATTGGTTTCGGCGCCGGAGGTCTCAAAGAAAGTAGACTGGAAGGACACACTTGGCCGGTGCTAAGCATAATCTACTGATCAACCTTATCCTTATCCGTTGATAGACAGCTGATTGTTGATTCCCACTATCTGTTATCTTATCTACGCACCCTGCAGTAGCCTATCTACTGACGAGTCTACGACTCTACACGCAACTGTTCTCGCTCTACCAAAGTCGGCAGCCGATCTTGTATCTCTCCAAGAAAATGCGCAAAGACGGTTTTGTCATGGCGATGGATTGTCCGTCCCACATACTTCTGGAACCCGGAAAAAGTAAACGCGCGAAACGAAGGGTAGCGAATCGTGCAGTCGCCCGACACACCGGTGCCAGGATGTGACGCGCTGAGAGCAGAGTCGATCGCAGCCCAGCTGGCCGGGTTGACCGCCGTCAGATCCTGACGCCGAACATGGTGATCGAGGGAGAGCTCCTCTAACGGGCTCTCGGTGACCAGAAGACTTTCCCCGTGCACGGGTGTCGTGCTGAGGAACCCAGCAAGCCAGTCGATGGATTCGCTCAGTCGCGCGTCGGAGCCATCGCGAATGCGCAGCGTCCGCAAGTGGGGCATCCGAGCAGCGCTCACTCCAGGCTCGCCCTCCAGAGAGATCGCTGGTTTTGGGTCCCAAGTCAGGAGGAAGTCGCAAAATGCAGTAGATATATTAAGACGTACGCGGGTCCAGGTTGACCGTCAAGTCCCTCACCGTCGCCATGACCGCTCGCAGCATCGGGAGCCTCTGGTCCGCGGCGTCGTAGTCTTCCAGCATGTACAGCAGATCCACGTAGAGCGTTTCCACAGCGGACAACGACCCGCGGGACAGGAACCACGCGTTCAACGGGACCAGGATCTTGCAGTCGCCCGTGATTCTGACCGCCCGGAGACGAGGCGCGCGCGCAGGCGGGGGCGGGGGCGGTGGGATGGACAATGTGAGGTCGTCGTACGTCCATTGACCCCACCCGGTAGCTTCAGCGTGGACGGTCAGATCCGTCAGCGCTGGGCACGCATCCAGGAGCGCGACCCAGTAGGGTATCGTCCATAGCCGGTCAATGGACACTTGCAAGGAAGTCAGGCTCTGCAGTGCGGGCGCGAGCGTGACGTTTGGTTGTGAGTGGATTTGTCGGAAGTCAAATGGGTCCGCTTGACAGACAAGGAACTTGAGGTTCGGGAGTCGCGCGATCGTCTCGACGGGGAGGATGGTCGGTGGCCCAATGGTCGTCCCAGGGACCTCGAGCCGCTGGACATACCATGCGACGGACGTTGAGGATGCGATGAGTGATCGAAACGGGTAGATATTGCCAGGAGTGATACGAAGTGACGAAAAGAGATGTGTGCGACTCGGCGGAAGAAAGGCGGATGAGATCAGCGCGCAAACTCTCAAATAGGCTCTGTCTTGGGCATATTCCCCGACGACCTGATCAACGAGCTCTTGAGGCAAGTCAACAAACGTGGCCATGTAGTGAGTCCTCGAAAGAGGCGGCGCGATGACTTTTGTTGACCGACTCAGCACGACGGGACCGAGGTGACTCTCAACCACGACATATCAATTTTACTTTTACTTAAACACCGTTGAATGCGGACTCGATGACCGCCCGCTGTTGTGCTGCATACAGTTTCCCAATACCAGGAGCAGGAAGTGCACTCTGCTTCCTGCCACAGTATCCGACTCTCTGATTCAATCCCAGGTCCTGCAAGACGCTGTCCAGTCGCGGAGCCACATGAGACCAGGCGCCCTGATTCTTGGGCTCTTCTTGCAGCCACACGACTTCTTCGAGATTCTTGTACTGTTTAAGAACTGTCTGGACCTCGCTGAAAGGGAACGGCGCCAATTCTTCGATGCGGACAAAGGCAACATCATTCTCCAGCGAGCGGACTTGCCGTTCTTTCATCAATTCGTAGTGGATCTTCCCAGTGATGAACACCACACGCTTTGCGGTCGCTGTGTTACCGGCTGGATCTTCGAGAACAGGTTGGAACTTGGTGCCCAATTCCATGTCCTTCAGGGACGAAGATGCCGCCTGTAATCATCATTGAGATACAAGAATGTCGCACAACGCGGGGAAGGGAATCGCACCGATAGTCGGAGAAGCGCCTTCGGGCCAGCGACAACCAGTGGTTTGCGGTAGTTCCTCTTCATCTGCCTGCGCAAGAGATGGAAGTATTGCGCCGGAGTCGTCGGGAATACGACATGCATGTTGATATTTGGATCATCCTCCTGACTGCTGTACCGGTCATTGCAGAGCTACGGGATCGTTAGTCTAACCAATTTGAGGGCTCGAAACGACTTACTTGGAGCATGCGTTCCACACGAGACGAAGAGTGCTCTGGGCCTGCACCATCCAGGCCGTGAGGAAGGAGCAACACGATTCCGCTTTGCTTGAGCCATTTCGCTGCACATCCTCAGTCAACATTCAAGAGGCCAATGATCCATCCTACTTTCAGCTGATGAAATGAATGTGTCGATGATGATCTGGGCCCCGTTGAAAAAGTCTCCGAACTGTAACACGTTACTTCTGAAGAATGGATTGGAGTGAATGATTCTGACCTGAGCCTCCCATATCGGTAGAATTGTAGGCCTCTCCCAGCTCGCTCCATATTCAAACTGGGATTGTCAGCAAAGGCGCCTCTGGAGCACACGAGAACGTACACCGAGCACCGCCATTTCGCTAAGTGAGCCTGGCGAGAGATGAGCACACATCTTCAAGGACCGTGACACACGCACTGTTCGCCAATTCCAGTTTTCCCGAGGCATTGAGAGTGTCGTTGAGTGGGACAACAACGGCTTCGGTGCGCTGGTCCACGAGCATTGCATGTCGCTGACTGAAGGTCCCTCGACCAACGTCTTGTCCGGAAATGCGGATGTCGAAACCTTCTTTCATCAAGGAACCGAATGCAATTGCCTCAGCAGTGGCCCAGTCAAGCCCGGCCCCCGACTCGATGCTAGACATTCTGTTCTTCACGTGCCGCTGCAGTTTGGGGTGTATTTCCTGTGATATCGAGTTGAGGAAGGGGTTCGATACTCTTGGCTGCGGCAACGCACGAAACCATTTGGGATAGCCACAGAGTTTCGGCCGATATCAGCTAGTTCTTGGGCGTCAAATCCGGTGCTGGGTTCCTTGTCGGCATCTGCACTGGACGGCCAGACCATGCCGCTCCACTGCTTTTCGAGCATCGTCGCGGACGGGACAAAAGAAGGCACGCTGGTCAACGCAGCATCGAGCTCAGCCCTGTAGGCAGATCGGACCTCGTGGATTTCGCTCGGGTCGAATGTCTCGTCGGCCTGGATCAAAGAGTCAGAGATGGTAAAACACATTTGCGGTGACGAACGATAAGCTTCTCTTCGTACAGCTGAGGAACAGACCTGCGAGAAGATATCTTCTCGTACATCAGTGGACTAGTGAGATTGGGGATATCCAGCTCATTGTGACCCCTTTAGTGACACTAATTAGTAGATCCAGAACGACTTGGATGAACGCACCAGCGACGATAAACCAAAAGATCGACGATAATATCCTGAAAAGACTGAATTCTGCGCACTGTCCAAAAATGAAGTCCGATACCTTACGGAAGTAGTTGCGGTACTGGAATGCTAAGGTCATCGCCCTGACCACGTCTGCAAAAGGTGAGGCGATTATCGCTCAGCAGAATAATCCAGAATCACCTTCGGGATAGTCGCCATTGACATGCAAGACCGGGGTATTGATCCCTTTCCCGATGTCTGAGCAATACTGCGATGAACGAGCTCCAGTTGCCGGTGTTGTGTATCCGATACTTCAGAACATCAGAGACACGGAAGACAGCGAGAGAATGTAGTAGTCACTTGTTGCTGTCTGATATGAGCAGGGAATCCCGATTCACACCAAGTCAAAGCACTCACTCGACTACGATGTGAACGCTGCCACCGCTAGTGAAGTGCGGCAAGTTACTCAGTCCCAAACTTTCCATCACGACGCCCTGGCCACTGAAACTGGCATCGCCGTGAAGCTGAACACACATCACTTTGTCTCCTAAGGTGCAATCATTCGGCGACGTCTTCAGAAGTGAGTACTGTTTAGCCCGCGTGTTACCCAAAGCAACAGGGTTGATAGCCTCCAAATGTGACGGATTAGGGAGCAGAGATACTTGAATAGGTTCTGATGCGCCATCGTATTCCAACGCGGTCGACACAGCTGAAGATAGGTCACAAATACGAACAGGCTATCACTCGAGGAAGGAACGGACCGAGATGACTGAGGACATCGCCTTCAGCACCGAGATCCTCCGGGACTTCAGCGCCACCCTTGATCTTGTGGAATAGGGCAGCGGGGGCAAATTTCAATAGATCCGTCAGTAAGTTGAGTCGGCCTCGATGGGGCATGCCAATAAGAACGGAAGAAACTCCGTCTACAGAACAATCAGCTTTGAAATTTAAACATACGTGCAACCGCACCTTTGGCTGCAGCAGAGAACAGCGAGTCCAGCGCAGGCAGCATGGATTCACCGCCTTCCAGGCCGTACTGCGCTCGCTCTCAAGATACACTCGCAAACAGAAAGATCTACGTGGCCACGCACGCGTTTGAGGTTCGGGAACTTGAGCTGCAGGAAGTTGTCGAGCACCTCGCTCCTCGCAAGCAGGCCGTGGATGCGTTCTTTGAATTGTTTGGGCATGGGTGTGCGGGTCGACGCAATGTGTGTCGACTCCAGCGTGTGCGAGAACCACAGCCTCTCGGTCTTGGACGGAGAGTGCATGTACTCGTATGCGATGGGGCCCGTGTAGATCCGCCGCAGATGGTCCGTGATCTGCGCCAAAGTCCACCACTCTTCCGCGTCCTCTCGGTGAGTCTCGTCGATCGGCCGCGTCCACAGGATACCATTGACGTTAAATTTCTGCTGTTCGTCCAGGAGACCGTATCTACGCGGATCGAGTGCCGCGACCTCGTCCCGGTGGATGAGGTCGAGAGGATCAATACGCGCAGCCCGGTGGCCATGCGTTCGAACCGAGTCGACGTAGCGGAGGAGCGTCGCATTCTCGGCCCTGTTTTGCAACTGTGCTTCTGTGTCTGAGATCCGAGTCAGTTGTGACAAAAAATCTCCATGAAAGCAAGCTACAGTCCGGGAACACGAAATCACGCGGTTTGCGGAACCCAAACGATTCGTCGTGGTAGTGACGAGGACTGCCAAGCTCTGGAAGAGAGGTGAGGCCCGGAGCGAGGTTTAGTTTTATAGCTACACGCACTGTGGACGCGCCGTGCAAGCACCCGCGAGTTGAGTCGTTGCATGCTAGGCAAACGTCCCAGTACTGTGGGGATCGCCGTCACAAGTTGCGGTGGCTGTGACGACGTGTATCAAGTGTCGCACAAATCAGAGATGGCTGTGCTGACATCTACCAGAGCAGACAAGTTGTCGCGCCGTCGAGTCAATTCGGTTCCGGAGCGATAGACACTTTAACGTTGAGTACGAGCAGGCGATTGGATATGGAATCCCTGTTAGAACTACCTAACGATCTTCTTATCCTTATCCTCTGCGACCTCGGATACTGGGAACTTGATTCCATAGCCCGGACTTGCAAATTGCTACACTCGCTGGTGAGTTTCATCAAACCTCCTCTTAATCGGCCCATGCATAACTTCAGGTTTATGAATTTGGATGGGCCGCCTACCTACGCAACAACCCAAGACCGTCTCTCAGCCTCAGCAGGTCGCGTGACCTGTGGCAGCCTTCAGTCCGAGTGCGATATGACGTTCTGACAGACCGAAGATGGGACCAGCGGAAATTTGTCGCCCGACCGCTATCGGATCCATGGTTAGGGAGAAAACGGCCGCGACTGGCCCTGAGCTCGTCGCGTCTCGTCATTGCGGCTGGACACACCCTCCATTCCTTCGGTTTCTCAGCGAACAAGAACCCGAGGGTAGAGTCCGAGACCCATCTCAAATTGAAGGACGATCCCGGGCAGTATGTTACAGCTATGGCGTGTGTTCCAGACGATGGAATCTGCATAGGATTGCAGAACGGCTCCCTTGAATTTCTCGACGTCTCCGACCAGAGAACGCGTCACGACATCGATTTGCCACCCAAAGACTTTGTAGAAAGCTTATCGGCCAGCGACGATCTCTTGTTGGCTCTTTCGGCCAACGGATCCGCGCGTCTCATCGATACTTCTCTGTGCCAGACAGTTTCCTCGTTCGAAATTTCGTCACAACCACGAAGCTGGAAGTGTCACCTCAACTCGCGCGCATCGAGTCCCTATGCAGCTTTCGGGACCAGCACCGACGCTAAGCCACTGAGCATCTACTCGCTCTCGCCTTCAGGTTTCACACCCAGTCTGGTCCTCGCACAACAGGACTCGATCGCCAGACGAGGATTGGCTGTCTTCGATATATGCCAGGGACCACCCTGTTCCGTCTGGGGCACATCTTCCATCGTCTCCGGGTGGTATGACGGGACCCTCTCAGTGCACGATCTCCGGTCTTCCGACCGCGATCGGGACGGCCGACTGCGGCCTGTGATGACGCTGTCCAATTCTTTCTCCGACGAGCCCATCTACTCCGTGGGCTGTGGCGGTGGGTCGGGCTGTTACGTAGCGGCTGGCTCCGCCCGACACAGCCTGGTCTCTTTCTGGGATGTGCGCTCTGCAAACAAAGGTTTCAGTTTCCACGCGCCATTCAACGACGCGTCTCCCGTCTACGCATTGGCACTAGAAAGTTCTCGCTTGTTTGCAGTCACGCAGAGCCGTCCATTCGTGGTGGACTTCGTCAGTGCTTCGGTTCCGCCTGCCTATGTTTTCTGACTTCCACTGCGTAGGGCCCTGATGTGGGTTCAACCACATATCCCAGTCCGTCGTCACAATCGGGGACGTCCGGGCTAGGGTACTATGTGACACAGTATCAACACGCGCGCCATTGACGGCTCTCTATCAAGTATACAGACAAGATTCAGAGCAGACAACAGATGGACTGTACAATGAGAGCAGACAGAGATCTAGCCTTGGATCAAACCAGGCTTGTTGATTGCCGTCCAACCATCCAAGATCTTCCACAATTGCGCTACGACAGACTTATCGACGTGTCTGCGCATGGGATCGATCTTCAGTTCCGTCACGTTCCAGTCTTTAATCTTCCCATTGGGAGGGTCGTTGGCCCATGAGACATAGATCCCTTTCACTGCCGCAACCCATCAGTCTGTTAGTTCATCCATGACACATTGCACCACATACCATGGTGGAACAACGAGATCGGCTCCGTCCACTTGTATGGCCTGAACTGCCACGCCTGGCCCGTCGTCATCACACACACCACACGCTCCCATGCGTCGGGCCCAAACTTGCTCAGCGCCTCCACACTGTCCACCACAAAGTACCGGCTCTGGATCTCGTGCTCTTTGCCGGACGAGTCGATCACCGTACGTTTGCGGTAGATCGGAATCAAGTCCTCTGGACGTGGGTTACCCTCAGCAGCTGCTCTTGCCCGAGCATCCTGGGATGGTTCAAATCTGCAATATGCCCCAGTCAGCGGTCAGCACAGCAGTATCAGTAACAGTTCGCACGTCGACTCCTGCAGGAACTTTTTGACGTTGTGCATTGTAATAAGAGCGGTGGGGGATGAGGATATCATGATGATGGGGTAGTTGTTCCGAGCTTTCTTGGCCAGAACTTTCGAATCGGACGCGCTCACGGGCGTCGCACTGGCTCCCGAACGGCTGGACTCTCGTAGCTTCTTGAGCTTCTCAGCATAGACTGTCCGGACATTGGAAAAGTTCTGGGGAGCGTTGTAGAGCTGGAGGAAGTAAGCGATGGATACGACCTACAGTTGGTTTCGTTCCCCTCAGCACCGAATTCCGGTCCCTCAGCTCAATTTCATTCTGTTTGATCTTCTTGACGACCTCAAGATCTCGGTGGTCCGCGGTATATCGCCTCTTCGTCGGTGAACTCGAAGTAGTTCCAGTCGTCTTGAGCGATGGCGTAGTGGACAGTGTTTTCGATGAAGAGGGCGGCGAACCCGGAGGCGTCGTACTTTCCGCTGCAAGACGGTCGGCTCGCAGTTGATGGGGCCAGTCTGCACGTACTGGAAAGAGGCACTATCCGCTCATTGTCCCCCACTGTTCCCTCTAACCAATCCAACACGCTTTTCCGCTCTGTGACACTCACAGACCCCACCGCCACCCCATTTTCCCTGACCCGCGTCATGTAATCTACGAGAGTTGCATCTCGTAGTAGCCAGACTAGATATATCGCTTCAATGGAGAAGAAGTCGTTCGTAGACGCAGGATTGCGGTATCTCGTTGGTGTCGATTTCGGGAACTGGCTGGAGGGTGGGATGTTAATGTGAGTCGCGTCGAGAAGTGTGGAGACTGGTTCCCCATTTTTGGAGTACGTTATGGTGCTCTTCGTCTTGATAGCTTGACGAAGAGCTAACAGTGCGTCGGCCTCGGCGCTCATGATGGTGCGAAGTGAGTGAATCACGGTCATGTGATCAGCGTTGCAAGGCCAAATGGCGACGATTCAAAACTCATAAAGTAGATTGTAATCTCTGTCATCGCCGAGCTCGTTTCTTTCTGTTCTTACCCCTTCTATTTCCGGCGTCTGAGCTGCTGTCGCTGTGCTCTTCATTCTCAGACTCTGAAACGACCTTCCTCTTTGCACCTCTTGCCTGGGCGGATTGTCTGGAGGGCCTGAGCGAGGCAGACCGCAATGTTTGATCAACATCCATGTCGTCATCCATGTCCAGCGTAGCTTCGAAGGGCTCGGCCTTGGCTTTGCCTCTGGTCGTCGGTTTGAACTGTTGCTCTTCGTCGGAGTCCTCGAGAAACAGTGGAGCCGGCGTCCTTGATGCTGTCCGTGCTGTCCTACTCGAGGCTTGCTTCGGAGGTTGGGTCCCCCTTTTCTTTGGTGGTTCAACGACGCTTGACTGATCTGATAGGGCTTCATCATGGTCAAAGACCTCTCTACCCTTCTGCTTGATTTTCGAAGCCTCATGGTCTTGGAAAGAAAACTCGTTCTGGAAGTCGTCGTCGCCGACTGCACCAGTCGAGTCAGTAGGAACTCACAAGACGCTGGTCGGAAAACGTACTTCTATAGCTGTCTTCGCTGATGACGAGGTCCACAAATTTCTTCCCCAAAGCAGCGGTGCTGCTCTTATTTGCTTTCTAGAATCTTTCCATACCATGCAGTACAGAGGAGACATGTGTGACACACCTGCTTGAACTTCTTGAAGTCCGGTTTTCCTTCCCAAAGTGGATTAGTCACTGTGACTTGTTTCCTGCCCTCGCCCTGTAGTTTGTAGACCTCCAGGTCTTGAATGACCATAAAGTTGCCGCGCAGATCGGTCTCGTCACCAAACGAATCGACAATCTCCCAGGCTGGCCGCTCAATCTCAGCTGCACCCTTGACGTCGGCCTTGATCTTGAGCTTGTTGAAGTCACGATCGAACTCGTCTTCCGTCTTTTTCCCTCGCCTTGTCGAGGCGATCGCTTGGAGAAATGCTTCATCTGTATCCGGTTGACCGGCCGCAGCCCCGGCCGCCGCTGCAGCAGATGGTTTCTTGCCCAGTTTCGTCGTCGGTAACGGTGTTTTTGCAGTCGCGGGTTGTACCGCATTGCTCCCAGTAGCTCGCTTTTTCAGAGCGGGGGTGCTGCCTCTGATACTGCCGCCTGAGGGATTATTTAATTCGGCCGCAATACCGGCCATTTCTTCATCGTCCGCATCGGCGGATCGCTCCTTCCGTTTTCTGCTAACAGTAACCGGTTGTGATTCTTCATCCTCTTCTGGGAGGGATCTGAGAGCAGTCGGATGCCGACCAGACCGGCCGGCCGTTTGAGTTTGAGTGACCGATTGTGTCTGCGAATCGGACAACAGCAGACCATCTTCATCGAATGCCCCACTCTGGTCAATGCTATCAAAGTCATTCGAAGGATTGCTGGCTTCGAAGAGAGCCTTGAACTTTTTGAGAGGCGGTTCTTCGGCGGCCACACTCACGATACCGGCCACCGCAAGACTGATGTCGGACTCCGCCTCAATGGTCGAGACCGTGCCAACTCGCCGTTTGAGCTTCGAGCGTGGTTTCTGACAACTTTCAGCTTTGATGCTGGAGGGAACAAATGGTTGGATCTCACAGCCGGAGCCGGCTCAGGAATGGATATTGGAGCGGCCGAGCTCTGCGTCATCGAGTCTATGACGAAGGAGGAATCATCTAGTCCCGTAAGCATTGGTACTTGCACCCGTCGTGTCAGCTGGAGTGTCGTCAGGACTCAGCGTGCTCGTGATCGGTTGGTAGGATCCTGACTCGCCTTCTTGGGAGGTGGGGGAGGTGCCGTCTCAGCGGCGGCCGGGACCGGCTCCTGAGATGCTTGTCGCGACGCAGTTCGTCGAGTGAGTCTGCGCACAGGGGGTGGAGCAGATTCGATCTCTGATGCAATGGACTTCTCGTCCTCTAATGTGTTATACACGATCTCGGGCAAAGAGGATGCTACGGCCAGATGTTCCCATCAGTAGACACTCAAAGCCACGGTGGAACGCACCAGAAGCTTGAATCTCTCGCTCCTCGCTGAATATCTTGGTGTTCGCATCCAGAATGGCTCGAATGAGATCATCATGCGAGTGAAATCGAAGCCGGAATCTGTCACGATGAGACGTTGCACTGAGGAAGGGAGAACCAGACACATACGCATCTGCCACTGAAACAAGCTCTTGCCAGTTGCTCCTGCCAACCGCAGCTTCGCACGCAGACGTGTTTCCCAACAGAACAAGGTTCACATTCTGTTTCGCCTGTAGTCTAACCAGCGTCTTCCTCCATTTATCTTCCCCCTGCTCCACATTGAACGTGCTGACCTTGCCTTGCGCCCTGTCAATCAGCTCTCTCATCTCCCCGCTGATCTCTCGCTCTTTCTCGCCAACGCAAAGAAACCAGTGTTTAGAGAACATGTGCATCCGAGCTTCGTTCGGGGCCCATGTACCAAAACTTTTGTATGCAGCCGGTAAGTCAGATCCAAATGAAGGCCAATATTTGGTCGTGGGAGGCAGGACAAAGGCTTGCTCGAGTGCAACTCCTTTCGATGGATCCGAGTTTTTGGGCAGATCTCCCAGACGAAGTATCTCGTCAAGCCAGTTAGGTGTCACGAAGTGAGAGCCGTGCACGAGTGAGACCGCTTGCGGAGGAATGGCAGCGAGTTCGTGAGTTAGATAGTGGGTTGTCGTGCTGGGTTGGGTATGCACAACATGTAGTCCTGCAGAGCTGAGTTAACGACTAGGAAGATAGGCAACAGACGCACCCAGTGAGGCGCAAGCATTGACGAAAGAGCTCTTCGTGCGAGGAGGATTTTCATAACAGCAAACTTCGGTCCAAGTCACACTAAATGTATCAAGATAGCTCGTATCAAGGCTGGTCATGAGAGCTCACCGAATCTTGTCGTGCGACGAGAGGACGAGAATGTCACCGTCTAGCAGGTCCAATGTTGTTTGTGGTGCGATTATCTGATTCCCCCCTGCGCGTTCAACGGTTAGTGGTTTGAGCGCTAGATTTTTGCCCCGCAGTCTCGGCTTCGTTACAGGATTTGTCTTCGGAAGTTGTCCGTCATCGTGGATAGAGAATAGATATCTCAGCTTACCACATCGTAAGCCGTGAAACTGTCGACAACAAACTCCACATGCGTTCTTGACACTCGTTTTGAATTGATACACAGCGGGGCAGGGCTTTTACGGCCAACCATGTACGACTTCCCAGTTTTCAGCAGTTTTGTCTCTGCAGCAGTCTCAGTCTCAAAGTTTGAGTTGATCGCGCGCGGGAATATGCACCATGAGTGGAAGGGACTTCTCGTTCGACATCGTCTCCGTCGACGAATTTCCCATAGACAGTCCACATGACAACTTTTAAGTTGCAATTGAGCGCTGAGAGGTGATCGAAACAGTTCCAAGGTATGTTTTGAGATAGAATCGGGCTGCTGTCCCAAGACCTGAGCTGAGTGGGACTCGCAGCACCAGGGGGCAATGGTGGCGCGTTCGGTCACAGGTTAACGCGTTACCGTCACATCACGATACCCGTGCTCCTTGCACCGCCACGGACGCGCTCAGGCACTCCCCTCCTCTCAACGTCATTCGCTGGCACTCAATATTCCGATATGGATAATACAAGCATGATCAAACCCAAGGATGTGCTGAGAGTACTAGACGCGTTCTTTCCACTCGTGCAGAAAATCGGCCTAACGTTGTCAACCGGACCGCTTCGCTGTCGGTCCGAGCTCGTTCTGCGGGAAATCGTCGGACTTACCTCAGACCTACTGATAGTTTATGTACCTCTGATCAGTCTGCGATGCCACGAGATCCGTTCCAGCTCCTCTTGAACCCACGCCATGTCTCTCCTCAAAGTTGACGGCACGAAACTTGTTGACGAAGAAGGAAAGGAAACCATTCTGCGCGGTGCCGGACTGGGAGGATGGATGAACATGGAGAACTTTATCTCGGGTATGTTCTGTCGATCGACCGGGATCCCCTTCTGGGACATAGGCTTGCAGGCTATCCGGGCTGCGAGTTCCAAATCCGCCAGGCTCTCGGAGAGGTGGTTGGACCGGAAAAATCTGAGTTCTTTTTCGACAAGGTTCGTACTTTCTCCCTGTCCAGTCCCGGCCGCTCCGGTTGACCCCTAGATCTTCACAGTTCCTCGAATACTTCTTCCAGGACGCCGACGCCAAGTTCTTCAGTGAATTGGGACTGAACTGCATTCGGCTTCCCTTCAACTATCACCATTTCGAGGGTGCGATCGAGTCCTGAAATCGGCGCTGAGGTTTCTCACCTATTTCTGGTAGATGACATGAACCCTCGCGTTTTGAAAGAATCCGGCTTCAAGCACCTGGATCGGGTCATCGATCTCTGCGCGGCGCACGGAATCTACACGATTCTTGATTTGCATACCGCCCCGGGAGGTGAGTGCCAGTTGTCTTATCATTGAGTATCGACTCAACCTCCGGCAGGACAGAATACCGATTGGCATTCGGATCACGGTGGTCATATAGCCAATTGTATGTGATGGCGTTTAACTTTTTGGATTGGTTGAAAGAGTTCGCCGTCTAGTCTGGGTGCACAAGGACTTCCAGGATCGCACTATTTGGCTGTGGGAGAAGCTCGCGGAGCACTATAAAGGAAACAAATGGATTGCCGGGTACAATCCTCTGAACGAGCCGACTGATCCTACCCAAAGTCGGCTGATTGACTTTTACCATCGCGTCCACTCTGCGATCCGAGCCATCGACAGCGAGCATGTGATCTTCTTCGACGGAAACACTTTCGCGTCCGACTTCTCGCACTTTGGAGATGCCCACCAGAAGTGGGACAACACAGCATACTCTATCCACGACTACTCCGTGTTCGGCTTCCCTGCTTCGCCGGAACAATATGTCGGTAACGACCAGCAATTGCACCGCTTGAAGAGAAGTTACGAGAAGAACGTGAATGGATGGATCAGCGGGGGCTGTGTGTTTGGAACGGAGAGTGGGGCCCAGTCTACGCCCGCAAACAATACGAAGGCCAGGAAACGGAGAGAATCAATGCCGAGCGCATTCAGGTGCTCAAGGACCAGCTTGACATCTACAACAAGGTCCGCCTGTACACTTGCTTGTTTCGCTCGTGCCTTACATAACACAAGGATCGCCTCAGTTGGTCAATCTGGCTCTACAAAGATATCGGATTCCAGGGCATGGTCTATGTTGACACCGAAGCTCCGTACATGGCTTTGTTCCGAAACTTCCTTGCGAAGAAGCATCGACTTGCTGTGGATGCCTGGGGTGCTGACGACGTCGCTGTTAAGCAAGTCTACCAGCCCATTCTTGATCACATTCTCCAAGAAATCCCCCCTGAATTCCGGGATCTGTACCCTGCTCCCGTCTGGCGCTTGTCGGATCGTGTCGCCCGACTGTCGAGAAACATTCTGGTCAGCGAGTTCCTCGTCAAAGAATGGGCAGAGCACTTCCGAGGTCGAATTGATTCGTGTGTGGGCCGTCGATTTTTTTCTGACCCACAGTTGCAGGCAAAGACTTGGACGAGTTGGACAAGATTGCCGCCAGCTTCAAGTATGAGGCTTGTTTGAAGCGCGATGGCCTGAACAAGATCTTGACCGCCAACAGCAAGGCTGTCGCCTGAGCTAATGTAACCACAATGTACTGCATAAAGTTTGTATTTGACTGTAGGGAGGCCTGCAATATCATTGACTAAATAAGTAAGTATCCATTCGTGAAGTTCATCCGTATCAACTCGGTCTATCGATGATCGTCCAACCTCTTCAACCAGCGACCTTAGTCCCAGCTTCAGTTTCCTCCCCGGCATCGTCTTCCAGTTCCTCATCAACCTCAACTTCCTCATGATCCTTGTGAGCCTCCCGTCTGTCGTCGTCGCGCTGCAACTCGTCACGCATGACTTGGACGTCCGCGTCGACTTTGGCGGCAACACGATCGATCCCGGCTTCGGCCAGCGAAACATGTCTGCGCGAAGTGGACAGATGCGCAGATCTACGAGGGGGTCGCTTCAGTCGTCGGCGAGCCACCATCACCGGGACAGAGCATTTCTCAATCAGATAATGCGAGGTCGATCCAAGAAGGATGCTGGAGGCTAGTTGAGATCAGCGGGGAGGAGCAGGTTATTCACGCACCCTTTGAGTTGACCCAGTCCTCGTGACCCCACGATCAACATGCTAGGCTCGTAATAGTCGACGATATCTGCCAATTCGATGTTAACTCGGCGTCCGACGAGCCGCGGCATCACAAGACGCACCTAAAATCATATGTCGAGCATTCTTAGCATGCCAAGCCTGGCACACGACCGTTACGTTCAGTTTCGTCCGCTGCAGCAGGCTCGTCGCTTGACGGCACAGGATATATGCCAGGCCTTGTCGCTAGCGGGGATATGCTCAGTAATCACTCTTAGCCAGTAGAGAAGACCTACCTCCTGTTGGCTGCGCAGCTTGACTGCTCGGTCTGCAGCATTCGGAATGGGGGGATCGACTGAAAGCGATAAGAATTTAGACATGGGTAGTAATCCGCTGCACTTGCCTTTACCCTCGTTCTCCATCACGTTCACGATCATCATTTCGTCGCCGTCGCGTATCACAGTACCGATCCCCCACTCGACCGCGTACCGACTTTCCTCACTCAAATCGCTCGCGACGATGTATCGCTTTCCCCTGCGCGTCTCCAGCGCGACATCGGGGTTCCCTGGGTGACGGTGATTGTGCAGCGATCGCGCTGGAAGATTGGGCGAGAGGTCTGCAACGGAAGAGGCTCGTGGTGTCTAGTCGACTTGCGTCGGCGGGGATTCCGCTTTCCCGCTCCCGAAGAAGACCCAGAATTGAGTGTACTCGGGAAGTAAGGTGGGGGAAGGTACGTTCACGCCCTCGCCAAGCGGATCGGCATAGATGTCCTGCTCTTCGGGTACAGCGGGAGTTACAATAGAGTTGTGCTCGGTGTTGCGCTCTGTGACGGGATCGAACCGTTATCGTCGTCTTCGCTCCATTCATCCTCATCGTCGACTTCGCTTTCGTTGGCGGTCTCGTCTCCCGAGTCGTCTGCGTCGTCGGAGAAGGCGGTTCGTGGACGGACGGTCAGGGTTCGTGCAGGTCCACATCGGAGTGGGTTAGAGGAAGGCTTGAGGAGTCGGCGACGGTTCGCGCTGCTGGCGAAACCGAGGACGGAATGTGAATGGAGATTGAGAACGATACGAGCGCGCGACCGGCTGCGCGAAGGATCGGAGGACGGAGGAACATGCGATGAAGAGCCGCGGCTGGCTCACAGCGCTCAGCGTGCTCGCGCCACCTCGCTCGGTGTCCACCGAAGTGTTGGTGGACGTCCTGCTCAGCGACAAACTCGAGCTCAGCCCTCCCATCATCGAGCTAACGACATTTGATAAATGAGCCCTTGTTGTCGAAGAAGCCTTCGGTTGGGCGGAGCTGGTGCGTTCGAGTGCTTAATGATGAGCTGGGAAGCTTGATTGTCGAGCTGTTGAGATCGGTGAGTGACTGTTGGGTGGAAGAGCGAGGACTCGGT